TGGGCAGGTTGTTCTCTAACAGGACTTCTGTGTCTACATTACACACCAGGTCAATGTACATGACACAGATGAGCCGATGGCTGAAGCAGAGCTGTAGTTAGTTGTTGTAATCAGTAAACGATAATAATAAAAAAAAAAGTAATAACAATAGTGATGATTACATTTATAAAGCACTTTATTTTTTACAGTCAAAGGGCTTAGGGGGAAACACCAGAGAAACTTTTTAGACAAGTACACTGGGAGATAATAGAGTAATATTAAAATATATATGTATAGATATACCCGTTTATATGCTGTTGTTGGAGCGTGAAGCTCGACGCAGGTCCTAGAAGATGTGCTCCTTGCCTTGCACCCCGTCCTGCCTCTTCGTCGTCGTACCCCGGCAGCCCTCCCTCCACTGCTTCGCCTCGATCCCGGGCCTGTCCCGGTTTGTGCTTGGCTCTGGGGTGCAGTCCTCATCAGAGACAATAATGCTGTCACCATGGAAGCTCTAGCATGCAAAACAACATGCATGTTATGCATCTAACACGAAATACGTGTATTGTAACTGATGGAAACGAGAAAATGTCTATCAGCCTGTTTTTAGCTTTGTTGAAATGTAAAATGTTACCGCAGCTGTTGGCACAGCTACCTGTTGCTAACAGTTAGCTTGCCAGCTTGTTACTGATTAAAACTCGGTCTTTTTAAACCTATCCAATAATAACATGTTAGCTTGATAGTGAGTACTAACAGCCGGGTTAGTTTTTTATTTTCACAATGATAAAGTTAGATGTTTTCTTACCCCTGATGTGAGCCGCGGCGCGCAGCTCGTCACACTGTCCTCGTCCTCCTGCGGTGTCGGCAACGCGCGTTCACGTGTTTTGGGGGCGTGGCTTTGGAAGCAGGCCAGAAGGGAGGGGGTGGGAGTTTCTCTGTTGGATACTTTCAAAATCCAGTTTCTGGCTAGTTTCTCAAACTAACCTACACTGCCTTTAAAATAACTTAAAACGATGACACAGACAGACTCACATTTGGCTTTCTGATTCGGTCTCATCAGTCATGCAAAGCAAAACACGATGCTACTGACAGAGTTTTAGTTTCGGTACTTTTATTACAATATACTGTGTAAATAACACTTAACAGTTAGCCTACTGTGCATGTCGCTGTATTTACTTTGTGACTACTCCCAGTATGTTTTCCGCCGCCACCGTCTCTTTGTACCCGTGTTAAGTTACAGTTACAGACCACTTTGTTGTCTGTCAGTGCAAAAAAATACCTGGTGTGGTTCTTCGTCTGTATTACTTTCTTCTTTCGCCAAATGTTCTGCAGCTGCGGAGTAGTCAATCTGCTTCGTGTTTACATCGGCTCGCACATGCCCAGTGTACCTGAACGGTCACTATATGTGCGTTTTCAGTCTTTTTAATATGGTCAGAGATCAACTCTGATACGCAGCTAAAACGCTGCTGTGGACGGAGAAGATCGTATTCGTTATTAAACGGTATTAGTGTGGATGTAGCCTCACATTACCCCACTCCTCTCATGTCAACCCTCTCGTTTTCCCTGGGATTCTTCCGTATTTTTCCGTTCTCACCTGCTATGCTCCCGTTTAAATGTATCCCTATAAATCTCCCGTATCTTTAACCTTTATAAAATCAAATAAAAACCTGCTGACCGAATTTAAAGTGTTTGCTTCTCTCTCTGGTAAAGCCAGTGGCAGTAGGCCTATGTAAAAGATGTAGACTGTGCTTCTTGGACAAGGATTTAATGAATAAAAACAACCCACTAAAATAATATAAGGCCTATAGCCTGTAAACCATATGAAATTATAATGAATATAGTAACTATAAGTAATATTAACAATATACTAACAGTTTAATATGGGATTAACATTGTACTTTTATTTATTTTCAAATGTCATTGATGACAGTTTTGAATCCTTTCTGTAGCCCCCTCTCCTTCTCTCTTCTCCTCTCTCTCCCTCCTAAAGCCCACAGAACCTGCCTGAGCTTTCCAGAACAAAAAGCAGCTACTTCAGAGTTTATCATCGACTCAGGATGCCTGAGCTCCTTTATCTCCTAAATATTTTGGCTTCAGTCTTTGTTGTTGCAGTTTTTATAGCTGAAGTAAATTTATAAAGATGCTGTTTGTAGTTTATTCCACAGGAGTAATATAAGATGTTCCCCCTAACCAGGCAAAGGCTGCTATGATTTAAGTCTAAGACAGAGGGAGTGGAATTTGTTGCCCATGTTTCCTGGCAATAAAATAAACAGTTGTCATTTCATGATAATTTATCATCTGTTAATTTTAATACTTAATAGATTTTTTTTTAGGACTAATTAAATAATATACAGTATACTGTATAACGTGGTGATCGGTATCAGCCGATACTGCTTAAAAAATACTGATCGGAGCACCTGTAACTGATTTCTGATCGATAACCCTGATGGCATTTCTACACACTCAGTCACACTGCTTGTGTGATGGTCCTTTCTGGATTTACACAGATGCGTGTTATTTTGTATGTCTACACATAACTGTATAGGTAGGTATGTTATTCTTGACTGTCTGATTTTGGCTTCTGTACAAGTGCGTGCCTGTGCAGTGTCTCCAACTGAGTTTAAGCAAGTTCTGTATTCAGAAAGAGGCGATATCTAGATGAAATTGTGCCTAGATGGCAGGAGTGGTGCAGGATAAGCTCCAGGAAGAATGAGCTTCTCTAGGCTGACGTTTACTCTCATTTTCTACTTCTCACCATCTGCCTGCAGCACACCTGCCTCAAAAAAGCATCAGTATGCCCATACAGTAGCCAGGGAATATTGATAAAGACTGCTGACATTTCTACTTCCTTTTCACTCTGGCTGGGCACAACATGTGTCATCATTTGGAAGAAGTCAGGTTACTAACAAACACACACACTTCCCCTTTTTGTTATCACAACGTAATGTTAGAAATAATTAATTAGAATATTATATAACATATTGGGGTACACTAAATCTGATAATGGACAAAAAGGCTGGAAAGAGTTTTGCCATTAGCACTGTTACGTTTTTCACATTTGTCTTCAACCTGTAGTTGAGGCAGAATACCCTGAAGAACAACATTAAGTTTCAGATATTGATTTGGAATTAACTAATGAGGCTTTGATTTATTCTTAATTGGATTGTATTGTAATATAAGAGGCGGCGCGGTGATGCAGTGGTTAGCACTGTCTCCTCACAGCAAGAAGGTCGTGGGTTCAAACCCTGGTTGCCCCGGCCTTTCTGTGTGGAGTTTGCATGTCCTCCGCAGGGGTTCTCTCCAGGTGCTTCGGCTTCCTCCCACCATCCAAAGACGTGCAGGCTAGGTTAATTGGTGTCTCTAAAATTGTCCTTGGGTGTGAATGTGAATGGTTATTTGTCAATGACCTGCGATGGACTGGTGACCTGTCCAGGGTGTACCCCGTTTTTCGCCAGCTGGGATTGGCTCCAGCCCCCCGCGACCCTGTATGCAGGATAAGCGGTTGACGATGGATGGCTGTATTATAAGATGTTCCTGTTGTTTTGTCTGTTTCACCTTGTCTTATTCTTGGCTCTCTCTGTCTATTGTCTTTTTAAGCATTGCAAAACTGCAGTGGGCCATGCAATGACAGAAGGAGCCCAGCTAGTTTAATTTCTATAATATCTCTTTTAAATGCTTTGTCAATGAGAACAATTCATAAAAAGATCAATGCACTTTATTTGATGTGGCGATTTAGCACCTTCATTAGTTTAATAGCCTTTTTCAGCAGGGATAGGAATACATTGGTGAGATTAATTGCAGAGTAAAGTATCCATGTCAATCTCTGCATATTTGCACTGATGGATTAATTGTACATTAATGACCCTGCTGTCAGAAAGCCGATAAATTCATCATGGCTGCAACTACAAATATGTATTTGTTTCCTCGTCTTAATTTATAGAGCATCAGTGTCAGAGATTGATTTAAGGTTATAATTTGCCACATTGAAAAATAATTACAACCATTAATAATTTTGTTTCCCTCTGAAAATTTTTTTTGAAAAGCTGCTTAGCACGCAGGAACAATCGATCATAATTTACCTCCAGAAACATTTAGCCTGTTAAATGATTTCATGTGAAGAATGTGCAGCCTGTTTAGACCAAGATGGGCACAGTACTGAGAAATGTATCATTCTGCATGATTATCAACTGATCAGCAACTGTAACTAATAAAACATGTCAGCCATGTGAATATTTAAGGTATGATGGACCAGCAACCTGTCCACTGTTTCAAACTTTCCCCAGCTGCATGCTGGGATAAACCTGGACCAAACCTGCCATTATCCACCCTGCTGTGACTCAACCTGGCATTTGAAATTGATGGATGGAGTAACAAGGGGAATCTAGGGGTTGCAAGATCGGGTAGAAAATAATACAACACAAAATTCTGCTACAAATGTTTATTTGTAGCAGAACTATTATCTTCTGTTCCTTGTGAACTACAGTATAGTTTTACCTCTTTAGACTAAAATGTATTCAAATAAAACAATCTGAGAAGAGAAAATGACTGCTCAACTCAACAGCTCCCAACTCATGGACATGCAACTTGTGAGGAGGAGGCATAGGTAGATCTGGCTTAAAATTAAGGATCACAAGCAAAACAAGGGAATCACTGTTCTAGGGGCTGCTAGCTGGATATTTTCATTCCTTAATGACAAATGATAAGACTTCGGTAATCTCATCACTTTAAATCAAATCAAACGTAAAATGATAGTGGATACTTGATTTACAGATGCACATCTTTCACAAATGGAAAAGATAAACAAATTTAAACGGCATGAACAAAACCAGTGAACAACAATATCTTCATGCATGTTCGTGTACGTTTGTATATTTTCATATTTAGATAAATATGCAATATTAATCCTCTAAGTATAGAGGATGTTTTTCAAAATAACTGATATGTATGCATGTTTTATGTACCTTTCTTATAGATAACTTTAAGCCACAATAATTGAAATCCACTTTCTCCTCTGTCGTGTATAGGTGCTGAGGAAACTGCAAGCAGAAAGTACCAGAAGAACCAGTTGTGGAAAGACTTGGTGGTGAGTGTCGGCAGGATGTCCAGCGTGTTGGCCGTTTCTTTGTGAATGGATTAGAGGTCAGTATTGATATCATTGCAGTCCTCCATTCAGGGCAACATATATTCATGTTCAAGGTACCCCATTATTAAGCATACACAGAACAAAAGTTATCATTTAGACGTCATTTTGCATAGATATTTTGTTCATGAGTGTTAGTACATAATTGTAGCACACGCTTACATTCTAGCAGGATGAAGAAGAGATTTATTGTAACTCTTCTCACATACTAAATAGTTGTGGTATAAAGATGCAAGTTATTTTTTTCCCTGTCAGGTGTTGCTTTGAATTCACCCTGATGCCTTCATAGTATCATAATCATATGTACACCCACAGTACATATGCACACACAGAAGCACACACACACACCATCTCAGCTCCACAGGAGCTAACATGCCTCACAGCTTCAGCCATAAGCTCAGCCTTTACAGAGAGTGTCAAGCCTCTATCTTACTTCACCCGTGGAAGAGAGCAGTGAAAATGTCAGGAGTTTAGTTAGGGCTACAACACCTGCATCTCACGCATATGACGGGGTTCTGCTCCAATAGCTCCCCAAGGGTGGCTCACGAGCACTCGCTTTTATTGCTGTGATGACTGCTTGTGATTTTTACGCCAGAGGACAGCAGGAGAAGAAAAACTACTCCATTCACCCATCCCTATGCTCACTGCTGCAGCAGTTTTGACATGTTGTAAATGTTGTTCATTCTGCACTGGGGACCAGGACAGAGATTAGCAGCGAGTTTGACTTCAAGTGCATTTTACAAGGTCACAAGGTTTTTTCATTGTTGAAAAGATTTAATTTCATGACACCTAACACTTTCTCATCAATAACAAACAAGCATAGTATTAGGTGTCTGATCGGATTTTCCCAGCCTTGTTACTGGAGATTTGGGGGATAAAGACAAAATATTTGGATGTTTATTTGGAAAAAAGTCTAGTTGTTATCTATATCAAGCAGAATTAATACCTGCTTTTTAAACCAGGTCATCTCTTGCTGCATATGCTAAAGCAACCATCAGGGCATCCTTCATTTGTTACAGTCCATCACAGTTCAAAGGCAAATGATCACAATCAAAGTCTGAAACATTTGATGATCTTCAGAAGGAACAAGATAGCTGTGTATTAAGGAACATGTGAGCATCCTGGGAATTCAACACTGTGAAGTTGAATTTCCTGTCAGTTTGTGAAGCCGATGTCTGCTCAGCTACAGTTGGGAGCTGTCAGCAATTTCATGTAGGACTTGTCAGTCAGAGATCATTAAGCTTTTACCAAGTCATATGTGACTTGCCAGCAGTCTGTCATTGTTATCATACTATAAGTGGACCGTTTTGTATTTAGTTATTCGTTAATGTAATGCCTATGTTCAATGCCCAGATGATTATTTGACAATTATTGCTTAATGTTAATTATACCAGCAGGGCATCAACTAATGACGGTTGTCATTATGGGTGAATCTTATGATCATTTTCTCAACTGATTAATTGTTTAGTCTATAAAATATCAGGAAACGGGGAAAAATGTTGATCCCAGCCCCAGGTGATGTTTTCTAATGTCTGGTTTTGTCTGGCCAGCAGTCCAAAACTCAATGTTTAGTTTCATGTGATATTACTAACTAACAAAGTTGTTAGTTTAATATCACATCAAACAAAGGCATCTAGCAAATTCATCTTGCAGAAGCTTAACCTAGCAACTGTTAGACAGTTTTGGCATAAATGACTCAAATAATTAATCATTTATCTAAATCTTTCGACCAATTAATTAATCAGTTAATTGCTTCATCATCATGTAATATGTTTCCAAATAGCTACAGTATATAGCTAATCTGGGCCATTTTCTATTGATAAAGTGAGGTTACTTTCTACTTACTTAGTACTTCCTTTCCCCCTTGCCTCTTGTCTTTTGTGTTAACCTAAACATGGCACCACACACAGCCTGAAAATGTATGCTTGTGCTAATTGTAAATGTATCTTTTCTTTATATAGTGTTTAAGTCATTAAGTTGCCCGAACTAACTATACAAGAATGTGCTTATCTTGAGTGAGGAGAAATTACTTAAGATGCACTTCATAAAGTCACACATCTCCACTTTGTCTATCAAGAGATCAGTGATAGATTTTAAGGTATTGTTATAGTTAGTTCTGTTTAGTCAACATCATTGTAACACACAAATGTTGACAATGTGGGCATTTTTTTATTACGAAAGATAACACATTTCTGTGATCAGTTTCATTCAAGAAACTATTTGGCAGAGCATTGTCCCCAAAGCCCAAGGGGAACTGGGTTTGATTTACAAAAAAAACTGAACGATAGAAGCAATATGACACAGCCTTTCTTCATTCCTTTCTCCGCCGTGCATACATACAGTCAAGTTTGATCATTTAGCTATTCACAAAGAACGATTTCATCCCATAAAAATGTAGTCTCAACAAGTCATTGCTATTTCAGGCACTTTTCAATTTCCTGAGACAGGACACTGGGAGCATGTAAACTGAAAAGCTGCTTTTGTTTTCCAGTGTTTTCCTTAATCTGTCAAGCATGGGAGGCTTTTATCCTCGAACAGGATTGTCTTTCACCTCCTGTCCAGTTGCATCTGTCTTTTTTATATATTTCATGTCAGTGTAGCTTTCCTTCCAGATCAAATCTTATCTATGCAGCACTTCCTCAGTTGAGCTGTATTGTGGATTACACAAAGGTCCATTCATAACTTTATAAAGAAGTCCTCAAACCAAAACGACAATAAAAATGATGCATGTGACTGCTCCAAAAATTACTCTCAAAAGTATTTTCTGATCTTCTGCCTCTGATTAATGTTTGATGGAGTTTCACATCACAACACAAACTGCAGTGTGGTGTTGAATTCACATACTTTGTACTCAACTATCCATCTGACCTCCTCCCTAAGAGATCTTGTGGTTAAGTAACAGGAAAACATAACTTCTGTCTTTGCTACTGAGCGAGAACAGTCATTATTCGAACAACTTGTCAGGAAAATCAACATAAGTCATTGTAAGCTTTCGAATAAACAACCAATGCTGTTTTTCTGCTGAGAACAGATTCCTAATAGATGCAAGGGAATTTGAGTCAAAATACACCTGAGACAGAGCAGCTACCTTTTAAGCAACCAGCCAGATGTTGGTCTCATAATTAACTTGTGTACCGCAGCAGAGATGATTTTACTAACATGTTCATTAGAGGAAACACAGTCAAGAGGACATTAACAACATTATTACATTAAATTGTTAGTGGAAGCTTTGAGAGGACATGGAAACAGAGGTTTATTAATCTTTGAGAATTTCCAAAAAGTTTATTTGAATTTAGAGAGATGGGAGAAGTGTGTTCTCCACCATCAACTGTTGAGGTGTGGTGTGGGGACAGAGTGGACCCAAACGCAACTCTGGGGGATTAACAGGTTTAATTAGGGGAAAGAAGGGGTTGAGGGACTGGAGTTAAGGGACAGGTGGATGCCGGGGAAACACAGGCACGGGGAACCGAGGAGACTGAGACCAGAGAGCCGAGGGACAGGGGCACAGGGGAACGGATCACGGGGTTGGTGGAGGAGTGTGGTGGCAGGCTGACTGGGGAGGCAAGAGGGAGAGCTGGGAGGAGCAGGTGTGGGTCGTTGGCTGGGCTGCCACCACAACATAAACAGCATTAAGTCTTATATGGAACATGAACTAATATAGATATGTAACAACATAAAAGAGGTATTGGGCCAAGCTCATGCTGCATTTAACTCACTGATAAAGAGCCAGGACCCAATTACAGACGGGACTGGTTTAGGTCAGGTTTTAGTTGGCCTCCTTTTGACTCGGCCATGTCACCATCTTGCAGTGAGAGGATTTAGCCCCTGTTTTGCAAGTTCTTTTGACTGTGTCTTGAATGAGGTCTGTCATAATGAAAGATAATATTTGCAAGAAGAGTTGCCAAATATATCAGTCTCTGAAAAGCGTGTTGTGTCATCTCGTCATTCTTTTTTAAATGTGTGTGTAAATGAGTTTTATCTGCTACAATCTTGAATTTATTCTGATGAAATATAGAGTGAGTTTCTATTTTGTGAAATCAGGTAAGCTAAACTATCTTTCCTCTATATCTATATCTCCCACCTCTTGGGGTTTTTTTGTTGTTTTTTTTGTTTTGTTTTTTTACAAGAAATGTCCAGTTAGTTTCTGGTTGTTTTCAACCTCTAGAACTAGTTTCAAATACACTTTTGTTAGATGTGTTTGAGGCAGAGTTTGATATATATTGTATTCATGATTTCTGATCCATAAACAAACAGCATCTTGTAATTTGCTTACATTAACTCCTCTTTCAGCACACTTGAGTAGGAGTAAATCACTGCCACTGTTCTTCACTGCATCAGGGTTTAAAATATGTTCAGGAAATGAAACTTGGCTTAAAACGAATCATAGTCCGCGTGAGGCATTAGGATGCTCTCCATGCTGCAGTGCTTAAGCCCATGTCTATCCACCTTGAGTCTGAACTCAACACTAGCAACAAATCACTATAAAAAGAGCAAATTATTTATAGTTCCTTGACAGGGTGGACCTACTTATCTTTCAAGTCGCAGTCCTCAGGCCTTCTACCTCGCATTTTCAGCATTGTCAGAGTTCACGGCGGTCCACTCCTTCACCATTTACATTTATTCATTTAGCTGACTCTTTTATCCAAAGCGACTTACAATTGCTATACATGTCAGAGGTGCAACAATGGGTTAAACCCCGGTCTCTCACACCTAAGGCATGTGTCTTATCCTCTGGCCCATCACCAGGTTGACATTTCTCTAAATATCAATGATAGTTTTTATATATGGCCATAATTTTTCAGTCACAGAGATGCACCAGAGCTTTTCTTTAAACCACTGGCTGCAAGACAACGGCAAAAAGTTTTTTAAAATAGAGCTAATAAGAACTATTTCAGTTGTGTGTTGGAGTAAAAAGATGTTCTGTGCCTAATTGAGCGAATTAAATTTGGTGTTTGGCGTTTTTTTTAGAGGAAGTCCATTCTTCATCTTCTACAACTTGCACTTCCTCAACATTTGCTTATTAAGCGGAGTTTGCGCTCTGGAAGTCCACTTTCCTAATTTTTAAGACTCATTAACAACATTAACTTTGTCCAAGATCCCTCTGGCACTATTTTTCACTCTGCAATGCTGTAGCACATTACTGTTGTCCAATTACTGCACATTAATTGAGCTGACCTTTTAGTAGTGACTAGTTTAAGCTGAGATATTGAAATGAACTTGGGGAGTGATGATTTTCCTCCTCCCCTTCCTATGTCATCAGAGGACCTAACTCTGTTGTCACTGTAATTATAAATTCTATGAGCAGTAAACTGTAATTAGTGTGGAGGAGGAGACCTCAGTATGTGTATTGATTTCTCGCTGGCTTGGTGAAAATGCCTGATTTGCTTGGTGCATTGTTTGACGCCTCCATTCATATAGAAGTAGGCCATCAGCAAACCTATAAATAAAATGGCAGTTTGTGCAATTTCAAATGTTGTTTACTGTGAAGAAGTCCGTTCACTTTAAAAACAAATGTTGACCAAAGTTCTATACAGGGAAGTTAAAAATACATCTAGATAATTTTAATGAAAATAGATAAATGGATAAATTGGGAATGCACAGAACACATAATCTGATATAAATGTAATATAGGAAATGTTTCTTAAGACTCGATTTAGAAATGTCAATACACAGCTTAATTGTGAGTGATAACCTTTTGTAAGAGTAATTTACTGACTGAGCAGGTCAGAGATGAAAACAGCTACCATTTCATGCAATGCTCTAAAATTAAACCAAAAAATTTTAACAGTGAACTTTAAGATGTGTCTGGTAGGCACTGATGGGAGCCCAGCGTTGGGAGATATGATTTGCCTCACCACTACATCTTGAGGAATATTTGCTTAAAGGAATTGTTGGGACATTTTGGGAAATATGTTTATTGCTTTCTTGCCACAAATTAGACAGATTATTTTTACTATTTGTTATAACTGTTAATTAGTTAGCTTTAGAGCTTTAGAGGTTCTGGTAGGTGGATTTTGTTTCATTTGGACAGAGCCAGTCTAGCTGCTGTCATCAGCTTCATACTTACTAATGACAATATCAGTGTCCTCACCAAACTCTCCACAAGAAAGGAAATAAACATATTACACAAAATACTGAACTATTCCACTATTTTCAGATGTGCCAGACTGAGGGGTTTGTGAGTTGCAATTTGGAGCAGAAGTGACTTGAATACCCAAAACAAGAAGTAAACTTAATGGACAAGTGGACCTAAAAACCTGTGAAAAAATGCTACCAATTGCAGACGATGGTTGTTTGTCAGTAAATGAAACCCACCTGATCACGCTGGCAACGCTGTGGCACAATACAGCACTTCTTATTGTTCACTAACCTGCCATTTTGCATGTGCAACAACAACAAATTTGGGTTTGTGAGGAGTGAACTGTCTAAATTAACAGACTCTACATTTACCAACTCTGTCCTCATGTGCTTCTACCTCATTTACAGCTAGACAGTCTCTTCCCCAAACAAAAGTGAGAAGAAATGTGTGTTTGACAGAAATTACAACTTGTTAACTATTTTGGGAAAGTTGTTCCAATCAGCATTCTCTCTGGTTTATGTAGTGTTTGGTGAAAGAATGAGAGAATCGCTGGATAATACTCATGTAGAGAGCAGAGCAGTTATGTTTCTCAGTGCATTTATATGCACTTAAGTAACCAGGTTACATTCAGCTTTTTAAAAGGAAGCCTCTAGTAGTCTACGTGAGTCAGTTTTCACTGCTAGTCTTTTGACTATTTGTAAAATTCAGACACATTTTTGCTCAAAGGACAAACTGGGCACTGCGCAGAAACACAGCCTGTCCTCGCTGCACTCAGTCCAAATCCTCTAACAAAAAAAGTGTCTTTTAAAGCCATGGCTCAAAGTCAGGTAGATGAGAAATTTTATTAATGACCCTCTGCATGCAGAGGCAGATATTACATTAAGTTCATATAAAGTGTCATACGATTTCCTGTGTTCCTGTCTGATTTCTCCCAGTAAACAGGTCTCTTGCATTTCTCTTGCAAGTTGCATTAGATGCTATGCATTGAATTTATGTCACTGTATTTAGATTAGCACCTTTTTCACATTATCCTATGCTCTCTAACAGTGATTCAGGAGGATATAATGAGGCAATACTGTCTAATGGGCTTTTAAAAAATAAGGCTGTTTTTCACAGCAGGCTGCCAGTCTGCAGTGCTGAGAGGTGTGGCTGTTTCTTCATATGCTGATACCAGATGACTCCTTATTGGTTTCTCACCAAATTATCAATCATACATTCTTGTAATGTACCTCTTGTGTTTGTGTCTGTGTCATGCAGGCAAGTTGTGATCATGCGCTGCCTGGCTGCTCGGGTGAACTACAAGACCCTCATCGTTATCTGCGCCCTCTTCACACTCATCACTGTGTTGCTATGGAACCGCTGCTCCAGTGACACCTCCCTGCGCTTCCTGCCCCGAGCTGCCTTGGTGGTTCCAAGTCCCAAGGTGGGGGATGCTAGCATCAGCAGCCAGCAACACCCTCCACAGCCTCCAGAGCCCCCACCTGTTGTTGGGGTTGTTGGGGGCAACAAGTATGAAGAAATTGACTGCCTGATCAATGATGAATCCACTATCAAAGGCCGGCGAGAAGGCAGCGAGATTTACCTGCCCTTCAGCTGGATGGAAAAATATTTTGAGGTTTACGGCAAAGTAGTGCAGTACGACGGCTATGATCGGTTTGAGTTTCAGCACAGCTATTCAAAGGTTTACACACAACGTGAGCCCTACCACCCCAATGGAGTCTTCATGTCGTTTGAGGGATACAATGTGGAGGTTCGTGACCGTGTCAAGTGTATAAGTGGAGTGGAAGGTAAGACTTTTTTATTGATGTTCATCTCAGGGATGTTTGAGCCGCTTTTCGACCAAAGGTACTGGGGATTTTTAAGTCCCCAGATCTCTTTTCAAGGAACTAAAAGGTTCCTTCAGCTCACTGTTGTGTGCGTTTCCACCGTGGTCTAAAGACTTGCAACGATTAGGCAAATTAACCAGCTGAGGTAGGTTGTAGCCATACAAAGCGATGCACAGGCATCATTATTTGTAACCACTATCCGTGAGCAACATTTGTACACAAATGTATATCAGATTTGACTGGAATATAATGAAAAACTACAGGTTTGACCATAAACCAGCTTTTTTGTGTGGGAGCTATAATGAAGAGACGCACAATAAAGTTCATTACACATTTAATAGTAGCCAAACAAACTGGATGAAGCCATAAAGTTCTTAAAATAACTCCAGAGAAAGCAACACAAAAATAAAATCGCAACAGTTTGGAAGATTATTAAAACATTTCCAGCCGACAAAAGCTATAGATCAGCTGCAGCACTCACGTGCACTCTGTGTGCGTCTGCGTCGGAGGAACGGGATGTTTAACAAGCGTTAATTACCTGCTGTAATCAGCTGTTCTGCTTGTTTCGGAGAGGAGTTTCCATGTAGAAACTTCCTGGTTGATGAAAACTTAAAACATCAATTTCGGACCCAGTATTTAGCTTAACTACATCAGCTGTTCACTTTAAACACACGCTGCAGGTTGGCTGCTGTTTCCCAGCTATAAATTTAATGCTGACATACTATCTCAGGCAGACATCCACGAGATTTGTGGATAACAAACCGGATAAAACAATCAAGTTCTTAAAATAACTCCATCACAGAGAAAGCAACGCAAAAATAAAATCGCGACCGTTTGGAAGGTTATTTGGACTTTTTGGGGGGTGAAATGAAGACCCCAGAACTACATTTAGACCCTGGTCCCTCCGGTGGAAAAACAGTGAGTTCCTCTAAAGGTTCCTAGTTCTGGGGTAGAGTTCCTTTGGTCGAAACGCAGCTGTGTGTCAGATCTTAAATCTCACATATTGGTGCCTACAGTACACAAAAATGAGTCGTCATGCATCTGAAAGTCAATATTTCGAAATGGGACAATTTCATTTTTCATTTTTTGCATATACCTTTTTTTTCAATTTATTCCAGATTGCACATCTGAAGACCCTCTATGTTTTGGGGTTTTTGTCAGTGTGCTGGCATTTTTTACCCATAAAATATAAGATACATATTAAATATAAAATATTTAATTCACACACAGTGAATTTACAACATGATCATGCAAAAGTGCATTTGTCATTACAGTTTTGATTTCCTTTTCATGGTATTTTCCCTTCCATGCAACCCAAATTAAACCAGGTTTCTACGCTGATTCTGTTAAATACGCCATCAATGTATGAGACGAATTAAAGGACAAGTAGAAAGAAAGCCAAATTTTAATTTTGTGGAGTGATGCCTGGTACTTCCAGTAGCGCTGACTTGTGACGACTGAGTCTATAGAGTGACGTCAGAGTTGCATGAATTTGGATGTGACTATCCAGACTGAGGTCGCATTTCACATGTGAAAGTAGCCCAAATCCGAACTGGAAAAAAATCTGATACGATGTGACTCGGCTGTTTGCACTGTTATAAAAAACCAAACAAATCTGAGTCACATATGAGCAAAATAATCAGAGTGGGGTCACTTTGGCCTGCAGGCTGAACGCGACCTTAGCATGGAGTCAGGCCACCATGAGCATCCGGAACAGCTTCATTGCTCCTCGCCAAATCTTTGGAACCCTGTTGGAGGGATGAACACTGTTCCTCCACAAGATATATTTCCTCATTTATGTATGCCACATGTATTTAATCAGGTAATCTCATTGAGAACAAGATACATAACAGACATAACTAAATAGATTTAAAGATTATATTGTAGCATTTGGTCTTATGGAGATGGTGGTGGATAGCATTGTGTGGTCCAAAATAGCTGTAGCATTTTATTCACATCATTTTCATACTCACCAAACCTTTCTGTGAGCCTTGCTACATGGAAGCCTCTCCATTTTAAATGTTTCTCCACTCTTTCATTCTGTTTTTTTCCTTTAATTTATCCATGTCTATAGATTTATGGTATGGAGACCAAATACGTACAATGTATTTGATGAAAAACATTTACTCGTTTCTTTTGGTGTTTTAATAAAGTCAGTGGCCCTGAAAAATATATAATTTACTTAATGAGATCTATTTTAAGTGAGTGATTCATTGTAAATTCTCTATTTGATCTGTGAGAAAGTGAATGAAAACTTGATTAACAAGATAGATCAGATTTTAAAAGCACCTACTCAATCTCAGCCAACCATGCCTACACAGTTTTAGCCTCCACATTTACACTACCAAATGTGATTTGTGTCAAGTCACTCAGACAAGGTTCCTTTAAGAATAATTACCAGGAATGATCAATAGCTCATTTTAAAAGGCTATTAGTTCAAACCACATTGTCATCAATATAGTTCCGCGCCTCGCTCACTTGAAGGAGTGGCCCTGTGTACTGTGTAAATTACAAAAATAGATATTCATTATCATTCTTTTATTGTCAGATAGGCAGATACGCCAGTAAAAGAAAACAGACACTAGACACAAAATATAGTGGCTTAAAAAGTGTTCAGTGATCAGTGAAAATGGCAGAAGTGATGTGATTCGAAGTTGAAGTTCTTTTCCACTCAAGAAGCAAGCTATGTTTTGGTCGGGAGATGTGATAAAAGATGATATATTCACCTCTGCAACTGACATTTTGTCAGTTGCAGAGGTTCACTTGAAAAATAATCATAGACAGTGTCTGTAAGAGCAATTTGCCAGCAGTCAATAGGCATTTTTGCTGAGATGGATAGTTCAGTGTCCCACATTGGCTTTTTTTTCTTTTACGTTGTGACACAAACCTGCTTTCCTGTTCATCACACAAATAGAACAATAGAGTAGTTGTGTTTATATTCAAATCTGCACAAAGCGTATGTGTCTTTCTGTCATACATGGAGGCTGTGCATACTCGCATGGATGCAGAGAATACCAAATTTTGAGGAAGGTTAGAAAGCATGGTAACATATTTGGTTGATTAGTTCCAAAGAGTTTGGTTGATTTTTAATAAAATGTAATATATATTTTTTAAAGTTCTTATTACTTTTTATCTGAACTGCAGTCCCCACTTAAGGACCTTGTTGTGTGACAAATTATCACTTTATTGTAATTCTGCTCCTCTACAACTCATGTATGGGAGGGAACATGCAATATGTAAACAATGCAACAGTGGAAAATGGATCAGACAGGAATCAAGCCAAATCTTCTAGTACTTTTGAGCTGAGCAGTTGGGAACCATGTTATTCTCACCCTCTCATTTTCAGTAGACTGTTTATTTTAGTGCAAAATAGAGGAAATGCACACAATTTACTAAGGTCCATTAATTAAGCCCAAGGCGCCTTGCTATTTAGCACTCTACATGTGCAGGCATACGCATCTCTCTTCAACTTGGCATATTTTTATAGGTGAAAATAGCAGTTCATTAATTAGCCTGTCACAGTCTGAGTACTGCAGGGCTTAAACAAGGTCATGGGAGCATTTCTCTCCCAACACACCCTGCTACCCATAGATAAGTTATTTAACAAGACCCTCAGCAATGATCATTAAAAGTCATGATTGTCCTTTTACATCGCTCTAGCCTCTGCCATATTCTGCTGGGATTTAACTTGTGTCAAGACTTAAAGTATAGCATTGAACACACACCCAGATTGTACTGATATCTTAAACTCACACAGTCACTTGCTCCTTTTCAACTGTGATAATATTAGGATTAAAAAGTGTTTTAGATTGAGAACATTTTAGTTAGACTGAAATTCACAATCAGCCATGCAAATGTATTTTCTTAATATTTTTATTATTAGACAGCGATACAAACAGCACTACAACATTCCTTTACTTGTCATGTCTCCTGTAGGGCTGTGTTTGTATTGTAGAAATTGAGCTCTAACTTTTCATTGTTGCACCAGAGCTTCAATGAGATCAAGAACAAAAGCTGAGAATAATGAAGCTTCAGCAGCTGTGGAGATATCATTAGTGGAAGTAGTTAATCCTCTCTAACAACACCCTCTTAAATCACAATATGTCTCATTTTTGTATGTCTCTTTCTTTATCTTGAACCATCTTTGCCTTCACTCCGGGATCTATTGCACACCACGATCAAGATTTGCAAAAACACATATGCACACACACTCTTTTAAAACACATATTACAACCTTTTAAGTGCTTGATAAAAACACGCATACTCTCACGTTAACTCTCGATGCAAACACACATCTCGATCTCTTCTAACACTCAACCTACAGCAAACCATTGTGGTTACAGCCACTTTACAATGACGTTATACCGCAAATTAATTTAAATAGACCCAATTCTGAAAAACTGAATAAAATTGTGGTTTGTAGTCAGTGTGCAGGCAGGCATTTCCATATGAGCTGTCTTCCAACAGGTTTGCACCAACAGTACATGTGATTTGTGTATAATTACACCCGTTCTGCCGCTGGATTACCGCCAGTTTGTTAAATACCTGTACTCTGTGAAAAACTTGAAAAAAAAAAAGTTGTATATCCAGCTAAATAAATATAGTATTACTCCCCCAAAGTGTTTCATTGTATCCCCAGCTGGAATACCTACCCCCAAAGCAAAAGTAAAAGCTGCATTAAACTATTTTGGTCACTAGGAAGCAGAAAGACTAAAAAAAGTTGAAGTTGCTATTTATGGATAATGTGTTAGCAAACAATTGCTAACTTTACTTATACATCCAGTAAACACAGAACAACATCCCACTGGGATCATATTTCGGATCACCTGACATGTCTGTCTAATATTCAGTGGGCTTTTAGCTCGTCTTTGGCCCCCACCATCTGCTGAGGGAAAACATCCGGGCCTTTAGCTGCAACGAGCTGAACTTTATCCACTGATTTAATTTGGTCTTTCACAGTGAGATTGTCTGCAGCTTTTAGCCTCCTTTAGATAAACTGTTTTTGAATAAAAAAGCTGAAAGATCTACTGAGTTGGGTCATAATTCTTAGTTGGTTCATCACTACAAGCGAACCTTTCACATGACACATTACAGTCATGTGGGTTAAGGTTCATATTTAAAAATATTACTTAATGGAGCTTTAATGTCTGCTCATATTCTTCCAGATCTCAAGAAATTTCCTGACGTGCTGGAGGTAAAAAATAAATGAATAAAAAGGAAATATTTTTTGTTATAATTTATAATTGTTATAAAATGAATTGTTTAAAATTCCCCTTCTCTTTTCTCACTAGTTTCTCCAACATTGCCTACCCCAGCGCTAACTTCTGTAGGATTAGGGTATACTTTAATTGGCAGAAGAGGTAGTATTTCAGATTTCTGGAAAAGTCCACTCTCTGGAGTCATTAAAATATCTGGAGGCTTAACAGTCAATTCCACATGGATTACTTTAGTGTTATTTAGAGAGTAGCACAGCGTTACAGTGTCTGGATTTTGACAGTCATTTGACTTAAGTTGTCAAGGGAGATGCCAGTAACAAGACGGGCATGGAGAAAAGTCTGGCAAGAGATTGGAAAGTGTGTGTGTGGCACTGTATGAGTGTGTTCATTTCATTTATTTTTTGTGCTCTTTTATGAACACATTAATCAAATGTGTCAATTTGTCACGACTTTGCTACTTTAATGTGATATGTGGCATTGGTCCATGCTATGTACTTGTCCCTTTTTAAAAATAAACATTAAAATGGGGCGTGAATTCATGCCCCATTAGTAATGGTGATCACACTGACGAAAATGCATTACTTGGGAATGTTTGCCATGGAGCAGGCTGCCCGGTGCTTAACCATGCGTTGAGAAATCATGCAAGTAACTGGTGCAGATTTATTTATTTTTTTGTTTTTTTAAACTTAAGCTCTGCCTCGCCTCATAGTAGAGTGCAGAGAGGAGCGACTGCTCACATAACTTATTGATACGGATATGTATGTCACTTCAATGCAAATCAATACAAACACATGGAAAATCTTTGTGGTTTTGAGTGAATCTATCTGGATGGGCTCTCTGCTTTGGAAACACTGGTAGAGAGCAGTTGGAAAATGTGCGACTTCTGCTTGTCAGTGTGACTGCAACTCTACTGTTAAGAAGCTGTAATTGTTTTAGTTTTGTTCATCCCATTAATGTACATACAGTCCATGCAAATAAAATTATCGGCTGCCTATTAACCACTTTAGTATATCAGTAGTAGAATAGGGTTGCCCAGGTGGTGTAGATGTGCAGACCACACATCCACCACTACAGGCAGCTGGGTTCAATCCTCAGTGATAGTGCTTCTAGCAATGGTTGGCCGAGCCATTGAATACAAATTACCAGTGATGGGACATCAGTAAGGGATCATGCCCTTGTCGCTGCATCGACTCCTACCTTTGTGGTTGTTTAGGACTCAGCTTATCAGGGTGGATGGAGGGTATTAATGAAGCTGAAAAGTTACTTCATGTTTTAACAATGAGAAGATCAAAAGTAGATGTTAGACATTTCAAATTGGTGAAAAAATGCGAAAATAATAAGATCATTTCTATGAATTTCGCTGTTCAACTGTTATAATAAGTAAATAAAAATATTGCTAGTAAGAACTGAAAGAGTCATGGCATCATTTGGGAGTTACTTTACCCTGCAGTGTGAGTCTGCACATTTTGTTTTTCACAAGTTAGTTTTCAAAAAGGTAGTAAATGTTTATGCCATTAATTCATCATTCAATCATTGTCATTTTTACTGTCACATTGACTGTTGTTTTTGTTTTGTAAAGCACTTTGAGCTGTATTCTATATATGAAAGGTGCTATATAAATTAAGATTATTATTATAATGATTATTTGACCCACCATTACTAGCTTTATGGTCCCTAAACAGTTTAACAAGAGACCAGGAAAAATTTCCAACTTGAACATAATCTCCATTAATTCATTCTTCACCTCCATTTTGAATTTCACACACATTGGCTAGAATAAAAACCCATTTACACTCTTTTCTGTCATAAAAAGAAAGATAAGCTTTCTTTCTGTGTTCTGTCATTGACTGACTGAGTTTTGGTCAGCAACTGGACCCGTATATTGGAGAATAGCAAATAATAAAATGGAGTCTTTTGTGCAAGATGTGTCCTATTGGGAAAGCAGAGCAGATGGCAATAAGCGAAGTTGAACATCAACAGAAGATCTGCTATATATGCAGTGGTGATTAGTTTGAAAGGAGGAGGCACATTATCACGCAGCCCTAATCTGAGTATATTATGTTCTTCTTCTCCGAAGGGGGTTTGGGTCGCACACATGCTCTCTCTGTCACAAGGTCTTTAAGTGAACTATCTGTTAATCAGAGTGATTCTCCTGCCTGTGCTATTTTTGGCTGCATCAACAGGGAAGGTCGCCTCCAGTAAAATGCAGTAGCTTAGCTTGAATTTCACCACAGCATCTAATCATTTACCAAAGCTGGTGGAATTTTTTTTCTAACCTTTTATTCTGCTTCTTTTTTGCAGTGACTGTTTTCTGTCTTCTTTGTCTGCATATACAAAATAGGCCCAGATTTGGTTTGGTTTGGTATCAATGATTAATTTTGGACCCGTTTTATTGCTACGACAGTTATGAAATCAGTGTGACACCACAGACTGTTATGACAACTACCATCTAAAAATTTACATTTACAAGCTGATCATGTAAACACACAATTTAGAAGCATTTCAATACACTTAAAATAAAAGTACACAAAAGTACACAGCAATCACTAAAAGACAACCAACGCACAAATGCAATGTTGATGGTCTCTTGCATATAAGGAGGGCATTTTCTGTATTTATGTAACATTACTGTTCTTATCTGTCTTCTCAACCCCCCTCTTTCCACCCAGGTGTGCCTTTGTCCACTCAGTGGGGCCCTCAGGGCTACTTCTACGCCATCCAGATTGCTCAGTATGGCTTGAGCCATTACAGCAAAAACCTGACGGAGCGCCCTCCCCACGTGGAGATCTATGATACAGCCGAGGAGAGAGACAATCGGGCCAGCACAGCGCCCTGGAGTGTGCCGAAAGGTTGCGGTCTCAGCCGTGTCCACGACAGGACCCGAGCAACCTCCGTGCGTCAGTTCAGTGCTCCAGGTATGTAAGCCTTCCATGCGCCCAGATGGCTTCAGGGCAAGGAGCTTATCTCCTGTTAACTGTGGCTGTAGGAAGCTCGATATGCAACTACGCCCTCAGGACAGGATAATAGTCTGCAGTGAGTCACAGCCACAGTGCGAGAATACTGGCAGACTGTGTTGGTTTACAGTGGACCCACCACATTATGACACATTCCTAAAAATGATGATGATTAAAGAACCAGCAGACACAACATCACACATTTAATCCTGTTCAGCTCACTTAGTCAGACATTGTCACATTTATTCTGTCTAAATACATTGTGAAAATTCCCACTGATGCTGCAGACAGAAACACCTCTGGTCGACATTATTTTCACTATAGACGTCTCCTTTTTATCCAGAGCATGAGTGGATGAACTCATTACTGTTGTCTCCAGATGTTATCAGCTGTAGCCAATTACCTTGAATTCTGTTCAAAATAAAGCTCTAGGCTGTTGTCTGGTTAGTGTGCTCTTTGAAAGCCGTTGTACCTTATGTGCTATATGGGCTTTAATGAAAGGTAGATAACTAGTGCCTTTTTCTTGTAAGGAAAGTCACATTTTCAGTCAGGTAGTCACGTACTTGAGTTATAAATCGTTAAAAACAGGGAAAAAATATGTACTTTCACTTTTTAAAAAGGCTAAATAATAATTTCAGCAAATGGAGTAAATGGTGTGGGGGTTTTTTCTGACTATTTTAAGCTGCTGATTAATACACATTTGGTGGTCTAGTGAGAATTTACAGCTGCAGGACAGTGTGTGTGGGAATTTTCACTATCATGTAGGAATCCATGGCAACTGTGTAGCTCAGTTCTGTTTTTTAATTGTTCGACGACAACAATAAAGGCATATGGCTAAGAGGAGACTGCGATGGCTGCATAGGATAAATTCAGTTTTGGTCTTTGCATGGTATTTGTATGTTGTATTGAATATCACCACATCATTTCTTTAAGCATATCATATTAATTATATTTATATTTAACGCAAATCAACCTAATGGCTCTGTATCGGTTCTCCAGGATTCAGAGCTGTGAAGCAGCAAAGCTAATGTTAGCAAAGCTAATGTTAGCCCGTTATGCTACAGTGGAGAGCACTCAACAGTGTCATTTGGTGGTCATCAGTCAGATATCATTAGTTTTAATAATATCAAAAGGCATTTATCTGTAATCTTATCACTATTACAAGAAGTTTGATATTTAACCAACCATGTACTTGTTATAATCGATTCTGATGATGGCAGTCAGTAGAGTAAAACCTTTGTTGTTTTAAATGGATTTGTTGAGATTTAAACATTGCAGTAAGAACTTAAGACATCCTTACAAATCAATCGTCACCGTATTATCTGTTTAATTGTGCGTAGTTTATAGGCCTTCAGAAAATGGGGATTATTGCTCCTCACATTAAACTGACTGAAGGATGGCTCGGTTCTTAGTGCCATTTTGTACTATTTCAACGCCAAGGAATCTAATTTTATTCACGTCACTCGCTTTGTGTCAAAGACTCATTTGGTACTGAGGAAACACTGCTCCAGCCTTCCTCAGACTGCATAGTCGTTTATTGTGTTCAGCCTCTTCTCCTTTATGAATCTAAAAAGTTATCTATAAAGTAGGAAAAGATGAAAAAAATAACCTGTCCCGCTCTACACTCCTATTGTCCTTTTCATTATGCAACAGAATTGTATTCGGAGCTGCAGTATGTGGTGGGGATGATAAAGTCTAAAGAATTTTTAAATTACAAGAGTTTGTTAAAGTTTCATCCAGTGACCGTTTGTTTCAGCAGCTGCAACTGTCTCTGGCAAATTTACTCAGCTGTTGTCAACTAATGTTGATTCTGTGAGTTGGTTAAACAACAACAAAAAAACAGTGGCTGCTGCCTGGTTAATATGCTCACTCTGCATGGAAGAAGAAACACCACTCTGTGTCATTTTTGAAAAAATAAGGTCCAACAGAGTGGCAAGTTTTGTTCCACATTAACAGTCTGGGCGATTGCCTCACAGTAATTTCAGACTAGCTACCGTTTAGCTCTGCAGTTGTCAAGTGTAATGCTAAAGACAGCTGGTGAACAGATTTATTGGAATATACCAGTTCAGCTTTTAAGGTTGTGAATTTAATAAAATGTAGCCATTTTTACATAGAAGTGGACTTTTCTCTAACTGAACTGAACCTTGGAGGACCTCAGTAACAAACAGCAGCCATATTTTATGATTCTATTTATAAGTTTTATAATTCTTGTGATATCTTGTTTCATACTATGTAGACCACAAATACAGGCCTGTAGCTAAATTTGTAGAAAATAATTGCAATTTGATTTGAGATATTTTGTTGTTCAGCCGTAGAGTAACAGATTGTGTTCTGTCGTGTTAGAAATGCAATGAGTGCATATCTGTGAGTGGTCTAATTATGTAAATTATAAATATAATCAGACTATTTAGTAAAAATAGAGACTGGAAATTTGACCTATTTTTACAGATGTAAAATGACCACGAGATAGTTATTTTTGGAATTGGGAGAAGTAAAAATCTTTTGCACTGTGAGCTGTCTTTTATTCTCCTTTTGATCTCCTGCTGAGATTTCCAGGACACACACACACTCTCTCTCTCTCTCTCTCTCTCTCTCTCTCTCTCTCTCTCTCTCTCTCTCTCTCTCTCTCTCTCTCTCTCTCTCTCTCTCTCTCTCTCTCTGCTGCCTCTGCTGTAATTATCACCTCCTCCTAAATCCCACGCTTTCAACCCCTCATCGTCAACAATTTCTTTTCATTTCACTGCTCGTCACTTTTCTTTCTCTCTCTCCCTGCTACTCGCTCACCTTACCTAACAGCTTCAAAGTCGCCACCATAGCTCTCTCTTTCCTCGACATCATCATGTTTTCATCATCACTCCTCAGCCCTCCCTCGGCAGTCTTCATTCTCCATTAATCTTCCTCGTCTATCCCTAGATTTCAGTCAGACTTGCACTTCTATTTACTCATTTCCACCCACTTATCACCTCTCAGCCTTCTTGCGCTTCCTAAGCATTGCAATCATAATACCTCTATCCATTTTAACGCCTTATTCTACGCTCTCATCCAAACTTTTCTTGTTTTCTTCCTCTGTTGTCAGTTTCTCTTTCTGTCTTTTGCCTCCCTCCAATTCCTCCTCCTCCCTTCTTTCTGTTTGGGCCTTTTTTCCTCCTTACTGTATCTAGGGCACTGGTGTTGAACGGCCTCTCAAATTCTCTGACAAGTAGATCAATTGTCTGTCCCCTGATAATAACCTGCCATCTAGCATCTGTCCATTCCTGCGCGAACACTGTCCGCCACTGAGCACCTTTATTTTCTGAATCCCCTCGAGGTCAGTTGATATTTCAGATAGTGATAGTTGATAGAAATGCAGTTTGTACAAACCAAACCCTGCCAGAATTAGCAAGGTGATCTGTGTTCGGAGATACGGTGGAGAAACAGCTGTCACCAGCCACAATGCCTTTAAAACGTATTCACCAACCTTGGGAGTTGTTTTTATTGTCTTCAAGATTCAATCAGAGTAGAGTTAAAGTTTCTTTGACACCGATAAACAGAAAAGGAAACTTTAATGTAGTAAGTCTAAAGATTTTAGTCCAGGTTGATTTTACAACACCTGTCGTGGGTAACAGCAAGAGTGATTTAATACTACACACTCCTTCAGCAGCTCCTGTGTCAGAAACAGAACGCAACCAAATAAACTCACATTGTTTGATTAAAGATGTCAGTCAATAATAATTGCAACCGTGATCTGATTTCATGCTGCGCACGTAGCAAGTAGTTTTCCACACAACAGCAGGAAACATTAAAGTTGGTGAACTTGCTGAAGAGTTGGAGGTGTGCAGCCTGTTGCCTGCAGCTCTTCATATATCAGTTCATGTGGCTGCTGCTAGCAAACATTTCTCCACTGGAGAAAAATACAGAAAATGACCAAAGTCTTATTTTAATTAACTAACACGGACGTCGCTAACCGCAGTGACAAGCATCAGTGTCGGACCGTGGAGTTCTCGACATTGGTCACTCCCAGTGCTACGAATACAGAGAGATTAACCTGGCGGGGAAAGACTTAATCAGCATTGTGTGAACTGATTTGGCAAGGGCTTGAATGTAACAGACGTTCATTTATATGTAAAGGTCCTGCACTCCTTTTTAATACAGCTCTGATACGGCTGTAGGAGAGAGAACAGGAAAGATTGTCTAACACTGGATTACATGAATGCACCATTTCCCTGTGTTTAGGAAGTCAATCTGAATCCAGCGACAATAAAAACTATATAGACCGATTATTTCTAGTTTACTAAATACATTGAATTGCTATTGCAGGAAAATTCTGACCATACAATAGTATCAAAATGGAGTTTGATTTTATGAACATTTTAAGAATTATAACTTCAATGTCAAAGTGAGAACAGATCTTTTGCGCAAAGCCGACAGAAACCTAAACGCACAGTCTCGTGGCTGTAATTGCTGCCTAACTTTTTATTAACTTGTTATTAATTTAGACCACCTTTAGACAGTCACCACTGTCAAAAAGCCACATTAAATCTACTTTGATTCAATGTTGTAAGACAATAAAACACGTAGAACTGATCAATTTGTTGAGCAACAGTAAATTAATCTGCAACTAATTCGATAATTGTTATATTTTTCAAACAAAAATGCCAAAAATGTGATGGTTTTAGCTCATTAAATGTGGTGATTTGAAGTATTTCTCTGTTATATATGATCGTAAATTGAATATATTTAAGTTTTGGACTGTTAGTCGTATAAAACAAGCAATTTCGATTTGTCACCTTGGGCTCTGGGAAATTATAAATTATAATATGGCATAATACTACATTTCATTGACGATTAATCAAGAAATCAATTATCTGATTAATCAGTAACAAAAAATTTTTATTTGCGGCCCTTAAAACATGAAAACTTGCTAAAGGGGTGAATACTTTTTATAGGCACTGTATGTCCTGTCGACACACTCATGTAGTCACAGAAGGTGTGGATTAATAATCATACGTGCATTGACTGTTGTCTTGTGACTTGGATCGTTTGTGTCCGCACGTGTGTAACACCTACTGTACATGTGATTTCAAGCCTTCCTTCAACGTGCTCACTCATCTATACAAGCACGGTTTTACGCCGACATATTTCGAGCTGCATGTCATCTGTCTCCTGCCTTATTGCTAAACAGCCAGAGAGCAGAGCAGAGCAGAGGAGGTAGAAACTCGTCTATATTCCCTTCCCATCCTTTATTGATGCCAGAGTAATCACGGGGCCAGAGTACAAATCCACTTACTCTCTGCATTGCCTTAAGTAATGGATTTATGAGTGCATTAAAGAGCCGTAGTCATGCAGAGGCCCCTGCCAGACTGTCTCTCTCCTTCATTCTCCTCGTGATCGACTGTCTTTGTGTCTCAGACGGCCTCGTCTGCTTCTGCTTTTTCAGCTCATGTCATGCAAGATCTTGCCGTCTCTGATTCTCAATTGTCTTCTCACTATTGGCTCATTTTCACTCTCTCCTGTCTCTGGCAGGCTTTAAAGGCACTTATGCGACCCATCATTCCATTACCCTGCTTTTTTCTTGACTCCCACACTCTTTCTTCTCTTCATCCTTTGGGGAGCCTTGATGAGAAAAGCTTTTTTGGGTTTTCTTTGCAGTGCAGACAAAGTAACAAGGCCAAAGGAGAGATCATTCCAGAGGCAGTTAGTGCTTTAGGGGGTTGAAATGAATTCAGAACAGCAACTGAAGTGCCTGGCATAGAGATGATAGAATGTAAGAGGAGCGGTGGCAGTGTGGAAACTGAATATCATCTGAGTTCGTATCCTCACTGAGTTTTGTAGGGAAGAGATGCAAATAGAAAAGTTGCTGCAGTGCATCAACTTCTTTTATTCTTTTTCCATCTTCCTACTACTCTGTTCTTTTCCTCCTTCTATTCCCTCCCTTTTGTCCTCTTCCTAATTAAGCTCAGTGTGCAGTGACACATCTGTAATATACATCCCATGAGAAGCCTGTCCCTGTGTGTGTTTGAGACTTTCTCATACACACACACAGCTTTGGCAAACCAGACAGTCACTAACAAAATTACTTCTTTGGTAATGAGGACTAGAGTTTTATGTGCAGAATTTTTCTAAAGTTATCTGACTGTTATTGATCATTATCTGCTCCAGGTAGGGCTGGACGATATGGCCAAAAATGTTATAAAGATAAAAACATTTCACATCATTCGATATCGATAATTATCACGATAGATGTCAAATCATTATTTCTTTCACGTTTAAAGGCTGATTTTTCTTTCTCTCTCTCCCTGCTACTCGCTCACCTTACCTAACAGCTTCAAAGTCGCCACCAGAAAGTGAAAAGTTGAAGAAATCATACTTCTTTATGGTCAGAATGTGACAAACACTCAATGCTAAGCAGTGGATCACTTCACAAATCTGAGGTGGAACATTCAAAACAAATATTAGTAAATCTTTTTTCAGTCCCTTTTCCTCAACAAAATTAATATTTTAGTAGAAACATTACATGCAAAATTGTTAGTGATTCAAATGAATTGAATCAAACATTTACTGACGATATATTGAACATTTGTTACATTGTTATTGAGAAATATTATATTGCGATAATGATCACTATTGTTTTGTTGCCCAGCCCTACCTCCAGGCGACTGTATGTGTAAGGACCTCTCGTGGTTGCGGTGATTCACAATTTTCGAAAAACCTGTTGTATTGACTGAGCCTATCACAAAGCTTTGACGTTTGTCTTTTCAGCAGTATTTCGCTTTTCGTTACGACATTTCCATTGCAATAGCTAGGCTAAAAACAAGTCTTACCTAGCCTGTTGCAGGCCACATTTTGGCTGTTGTTGTTGCTCAAAAACGGACATCCATAGAAAAGTTTGGTCTCATCTTAAACCCGAGCATTTGCAGATTAATTCCATACCCAATATATACGATCCACTAAAGGTAGGCACGATGCGAGATGAATATATCCCAGTTTTTGTTAACTTTATAGCCATCTTAACTGTATGGAAGGAGGGAGGGACAATTGAGTGAGATTCAGCTCTTTTTTGTTTGGGATACAAGATAAGTAGGTAGGGAGGGGTTTTATTTTGTGTGGTGTATTAGAACATTGTTATGTATTTAGAACATTTTGTTGTAAGTAACTAACAAGGTCTAAATTCAGATGTTTGAACTTCATCCTGTTTATTGATTCCTCATCAAGTTAATTCAGTTAGGTTACACAGAACTCTCGGTTACAATACCAATCAATACCATCAAGTCAAAAATCAGACACTATACAATACAAAGTACTGTGTTAAAAAAGTTGTAGACATCTATGTAAGAAAACTTATACCATACAAAAAAACATTCTCCCCTGTATTCCACTACTCTCATGCATACACACTGGACACACAGACTGCCTTGCTCTCTGTTCTCCGACCACATGCACTCGGGCACACCTGGCAAAGAGCTGCACTCTGAATGTAACCATGAATTGAATCTTGAAAGATGAGGAAAAATACCTCTATCATAGAAACGCATCATCAAAGGAGAGCGTATGAAAGGGAACAGATGCACTTTAAAAGGCTACCAGTTAGTCTGCTAAAAATAGCCCGTTGTCATCCGGTAATTGTCAGGAGTTCTCAGTCAGTCAAAGGATCCAAATGCACTTTGAGAAGCACTATAAAACTTGCTTTCTCCTGCAATTCCAGTTCATTATACACATTTTTAACATTTCCCCCATTTATTTGCTGCACCCACCCTCCTCACCACAGAGTCCTCAGAAGGTGTGTCCATCCCGCTGGGCAACTCCAAAGACTTCATCCTCAGCTTGGACGTCAAGTTCATCTCCAACGGCAGCGTGTCTGTGATCCTCGAAACCACGGAGAAGGGCCCGCCCTTCACTATCCACTATGTGACCAGCACGCAGCTCATTGCCTTCAAAGACCGTGAAATCACCTACGGTGTCGGACCACGAACCGCCTGGAGCACTCTGACCCGAGATCTGCTCACCGACCTCAGGAAGGGCGTTGGGCTGTCCAACACCAAGGCTGTGAAGGCCACTAAGGTTGGTTTCAAACTTTAAGTACTGAAAGTAGCTTTTTGATAAAATACCTGTGTTCTAATAACTATGTAACTGGACTAGAGCTGAAATAATTAGTTGATTGATCAGGAGAAAATTAATCGGTAACTATGATTTTGAATGAACTGAGTATTTAAGTCATTTTTCAAGCAAAAATGCCTATTTGAATAACAATTCAAATGTGAGGATTGCTGCTTCTTCATCTTATGTCATGGTAAACTGAATAAACATATAAATATGTGCGTTATTTGATAATGTCCTGTGGGTTTTAACAAATTGTGCAAGACATTTTTTTATATTTTCTGACATTTTATAGACAAAGCCATTCATCGATTAATGGAGGAAATAATAAACATATTAATAAATAATCATCTTTTTATCCCTAAACTGGACCATGCATAATTAATCTAATAAAACTAATTTCCCATCTTAATGCTGTATTTCTGTTATGTATGAACAAAACAAATTCAGTTAATTATATTTACTTTGAACCAGGTTATTTCATTATGAGAGCTGTGACATTAAATTATTAAATGTAGAGATGATAAACAACAATAATGAATTAATGCCAAATCATAATTCCAGTCATTAATCATCTTGTCTGCCTTTGCGTCTGATTTCCTCCTCAGATCATGCCCAGACGGGTGGTACGATTAGTCCTGCATGGCCGTGGCTTTGTTGACAACGTCACTATCTCCACCACTGCCCACATGGCCGCCTTCTTTGCCGCCAGCGACTGGCTGCTTCGCAACCAGGACGAGCGAGGCGGTTGGCCCATCATGGTCACCCGTAAACTTGGCGAAGGCTTCCGGCCTTTGGAGCCCGGTTGGTACTCTGCCATGGCTCAAGGCCAGGCCATGTCCACCCTTGTGAGAGCCTACCTCCTCACCAAGGACCAGGCTTACCTCAATGCTGCCCTCAAGGCAGTAGGACCCTACAAGGTGCCTTCAGCACAGCACGGGGTCAAAGCTGTGTTCATGAACAAATACGACTGGTATGAGGAATACCCCACCACACCCAGTTCTTTTGTCCTCAACGGCTTCATTACTCCCTGCTGGGACTCTTTGACTTGACTGAGACAGCCGGAGAGAAGCTTGGCAGGGAGGCTGGGCAGCTGTTCAGCCGCGGCATGGAGTCACTGAAGGCCATGCTGCCGCTCTTTGACACAGGGTCTGGGAGCATCTATGACCTGCGTCACTTCATGTTGGGCACTGCGCCCAACCTGGCACGCTGGGACTATCACACCACACACATTAACCAGCTACAGCTGGTGGCATCCATAGACAACTCTCCCGTCTTCAAGGATGTGGTCAAGCGCTGGAAAAACTACTTAAAAGGGATTCGTGCCAAGCACAACTAGAGAAACTTTAACCCACGTATATCATACAGCTGAAATGATGACTGAAAAGTTGAATATACTATGTGTGAGAACTTAATGGATGATTGAATGTGAGGTGGATGCTCACATTGTGTGTCTGTTAGAGGTTCATAATCTATTGGATGAGTTTATCAGCTGCAGCTCTCACCACTTAACATTTCTCGTGTGCTCTGTTGCAGGTTTTATATTTTCTGCAACACTGACTGTAGCTCTCTTCTCCTGTTTTTTCTTTCCCCTTGAGCTAGTGTTTGTAATTATGCACAGACCTAGTTTCTGTGTGTGTGTGTGTGTGTGTGTGTGTGTGTGTGTGTGTGGGGTTAAACAATATATGACGTTAGAGTAGGATGAAACTCCTTGAATTGTTTAAACTGGATCACATTTCCGACACTCACATCCACCGCAGGTCTCTTCTCCAATTGTATTTTTTTACCATTTCGAGTTTATTTAAACAAGTAAACTTTAACAAAACAGAATATATTATAAATTATTTGCCAAAAATTAATGAATCTTATCGATATACAATACTAAAACATTTTGGATTTTATTTCTCCTCTTCAAACTTTTTTTTACATCCTTTAACCCTCAAAACATAAGTTTTAAATCAAGAATTTTTTTATACCATGCAGCTGTGATAGAAATTATTTTATTGAAATGCTGAAAAGTCCGATGCTTTATGCCTGCAAACTGGCAGCTTCCAAGTTGTTTTCTGAAGCCCCACAGTTAAATAGTTACAAATAATTTTGGCGGTGTTATGTTGTTGTAGTGAGTAATATTTTTTCCCTCTTAATAACAGTTTTAAGCCATGGATTAGGTGTCTGCTTAAAAAGTTCAAATCAGCTCTGAGGAATAAACACCTCAAACCACCATATTTGATTTCAGATGGATAAACCAGCTCTGCTACCAGCAGGTCTCTTTGCTTCCTACCAACAATTCCACTGTGTTTAGCTGAGCTGCTGTGTAGGCACATCTGGACAGAGTTGTCTGCATGACTGCATCATGGGTAATGTGACTTATACAGGGACCGGTTTGTGTTTTCAGTTGAGGCACGGACGGCTGCAGCTAGCACGCTGCTATAACATGAGTGTCCATGTTACATTCCCTAAGATCAGGCCTATCCTAATTAGTCGTCAGGGCGGTACCCTCTATAAAGCTGGTTTCTTCATGTGATGTTTTAAGATGAAAAACTGTGCGCTACGATTCTTAGCTGTAACCAAAACCCACTACAGTCTGTCGGTTGGTCCCAAAAAACTTAATAATTCATGTGCCAGTGCAGCTATAAATAGTTAATTCTGCATCACTTTGAGTTCAGTTCAGCTCAGTTAGTAATGCTTAAGCTTTCTATATCAGAGATGCTGTATTGTGATTTTCAGCTCCGATGTGGTCGCGGCTGTTCACGAATCTCAGTATTTGTTGGAAGAAAAAAAAAGGCAGCTGAGACATGAGCCTCAAGAGTCTCTGATCAAGAGTCGCCGTTTCCTCTGTTCTTCTCATTTGCACCGTTTGGGAAAAGCTATTTGGGAATTAGACACAGTCAGCTATATTTAACGTTTTTGTGGGTGTGTTGCCTTGAAGTGGACATGGGAAACTCCCAGTGTGCAGACTATGCTACACACATGAGCCACTACTGATAAAACGATCAATAATTTCTTCAGATCTTTATTATATTTACTAATCTGACAAGAGACTACAAATGGCCTACTCTGACACATTTTTAATAATGTTAATTAATGTGCCATGTCTCTGATAAATAAGAAATACAAGTAGACCATTAAAGCTTCATGCAGTTGCAATGGGACCCTGCAGTGTCACTTTTAAGCTCCCTTCATCCCATAAGAAATGTACACAGGACACAGTGTGGCAATGATTTTCTAACTAATACTTGTTTTTCTATTAAACTTTCTTTCAGTGACAAACTTTAGCTTCTGATGAATCTCTTGGCCTGTTAAATATTAAAATCTTTTATATCCTTTTATGTCCCTTGGTTTGAACACCAGCACCATTAGTTGTAGCCACATTTTCATTCACTGTCATGCCCCCTCTTGACCTAGAATATTAACTTGGAAACTCACTTCTTAACTCTTAACTCACACTTTCAGATAATAATTGCTGAATATAAGTGTAGGTGGTGTAGATGTATGTGTTGTTTATAAGATGTAAACAGACGTGTGGGCAGCAGAGGCACAGCTGTGTCTCACTAACATGTCAATTTATAACATTTAAATAGACAATTGCAGGAGTGCTGAAGGCTGAGGTAAATTCTTGACATGCATAAAGAGGCTGTCAGTCCCAGCAGGCTCTCATTGCTCCTGTCAGCTGTTGTGGGTGCATGAACCGATTGTTTTTAATCGTCCTGCCCTGTTGACCGCTGAACGAGGAGACGGAGGCTCGCCAAGACGCAAACAATTCAACTGTCTTAATGGGCTGCAGAGTCTGAACACAGTACGGTCGCTAGTCAGGGATGAGTCAGCATTCACTGGCATTGCCCTCACAAATAAAACAAAGTGGATCCCTCGGCATTAATGAGGCTTTCATCGATCTACCTTAAAGATTATTAATGGGAAGCAGGAGAGTCAGGCTGGTTTGTTCTTCTGAATGTGTTGGTGGTGAATTTTTCATTTTCTTAAAACTGGCCTAAACTTTGAGATAAAACCATTTACCCAAGCGCTCTGCTTGAAGTTATTGTAGTGTGAGCTTGCTTCATCTGTGACTCAGCTCATTGCATTCAGAAGTAATAAGTGAGGATTTACGACGGAGTACAAATTCTCAAATACAATTTTGAGAATTTGTGAAAAAAGTTGTAATATTTCAAGAATAGTCATGATATTATGATTCATTATATTTTGCAAGGAAAAATAGTAACTACAATACAGTGTGTGTATAGTGCACATTATACTGTATTTCAGGAAAAGATAAAACAAGTGCATGTAATCCAATCTTCCACGTTTAATCATAATAGACAGCATTTTGTTTTCAAAGCAACCACTATGACTTATTTTCTAATAATATGACTTGCGACTTGTATCTCAAAATATGACTTAAAAATGTTTCTGACTTTATTCCTTAAATACTAGACTTTTTCTTGTAACATTATGCCTTTCGCCTTTTCTAAATCATGACTTCTTTTTTTAAAACATTTTGACTTTATTCTCAAAATCTCAGATTTTTTTTTCAACAGTGGAGCTATTCCTCCAGGTTTATACTGTGGATGGAAGGAATTATATTGAGTTTCTGAGAGAAGAGGTTTGGGTGTACTTTTTGAGAATCCCTTTTTTTTTTTGTACACTTGCTGAACCTTGCTTTGTTCTTTTCCTGGTGGCATTTTCTCCCCATGAATACTTACATAATTCATTCTTTGCCATTTTACGTGGAAATATGTAGTTTAAAGGGAACATTCAGGAATGAAAGTTAAGCATGTGAACAACTATCTCCATTTTGTTTATACCAAAGCCATTGATTCAAGTATATTGGAATTTGTATATTTTTGTGCAAATTTCCATTCAGCATTTAATGACATTAAGTCTCCTTGGAGACGTCACAGAGAGACACTGTCTTTTTGAGAAATGCTAGTTTTTCAGATGTAGGTTGAATAGATTATAGTAAAATTAAGATATGTAAAACCTGCTTATTATAAAGGGGACGTGTGCAACTAGAGATTAGCATTTAGTCAGCTACTGTTAAAGGCAGACAATAGCTGCAAATTCTCCTAGAAAGTTTTACTTTTGTCTTTGTTTTGAAGTGTTTTGTTTGCATCATTCATCATTTGTTGGAATAATTTGCTGAGGAATACTATGTTTTTCTAGATAGATAAAAGCACAACTGCCGTTTATTGTCACAAGATTTTGGTTGTATTTCTTTAGGCATGCTTTGTTTTTCTTTTCAGGACAATGTGCAACGCCTTCAATAAGGAAGCTGCTATTATTGTTCACTGTGTTACAGCTATGGAAACTTCTTTTTCATCATTTTAGTGGGGTTTGTTTCTGTTTTTCCACTATTTGACTTTTTGACTGAACATATGACCGCTGAGGTCAAATGTGATTTATGCAATAAAATGTTTACTGGGGTCATGACACCACAGGAGACCCAGAGCGGTTGTACAGACTTTGCAATCAAAGCACAATGTGCAAATGCTACCATTTTTTTAGTCCAAGAAAGAGAGTTGTTTGTATACAGAGTAAATTGTGCTTTAAAAATGTGCTTTTTAAAGGTGTAAAAAATAAAAGCATTTTTTCTCAAACTCGTGGTTTAATATCTGTAACATTTAAAGGGACTCAGCCGTTTAATGAAGATCCGTTGTAGAGCTGATACAATTAATTGATTAGTCAATCGACAGAAAATGTATCTGCAAGTACTTTTAATAATGATTATTTTTTATTAATTTAGTAGGAAATATGCAAAACAGATTATCGGTTGAAATTATTTCCAGTGTTTCTTTGTTTTATGTGATCAAAAACTGAATAGCTTTGTGTTTTTGTCGGACAAATCAAGTAATGTGAAGACGGCACCTTGAGGTTTTTGTTATATGAAGATTGATAGAGAAAATAGATGTCAAATTAATAGATACTAAAAAACAATCATTCGATGTATTATTTTACACTGTGCTTTATTCCAATAGACCACAAAAATTTGTTTACATTGCATTATATCTATATCAAGAAATAAAACAAAAAACATACGATACAAAAGCCAAAAAGGAAACCAAACACATGCCTTTGGTGTGAGAGACCCGGGTTCAATCCCCCATTGGACCCATCCACCATTGTGTCCCTGAGCAAGACACTTAACCCCTAGTTGCTCCAGAGGCGTGCAGCCTCTGACATAAATGGCAATTGTAAGTCGCTTTGGATAAAAGCGTCAGCTAAATGAATAAAAACGTAAATTAATATTAATCTTTTTTTAAATAAAAATATCAGCTGTATTGAAGTAAATACAATTTCAAGGCTATGTTTTTATCTGCCCATAACAAACCCTTCTGTATCATTTACCTGTGTGCCTCATAATTAAACCATTTACTCGTCTTTGATAGGTTTTCTCTATCCCCAGAATTTTATTCATTGTAAACTTTAAATTCTGAAGAGAAGGTGGAGTACTTGTTTTAGTCCCGCTGCTCATGTCCGGTGTTAAACAACACTGACTACAGTAGAGAAACAGTTTGTTCATACTGAACGTCGTCTCTGTGAAACTGCAAAGAGGAAAAACAATCCTGATTAATAATTTATCCTAATTAGGCTATTCTGATCCAGTGAGACGCTCAGACACCTGAGAAGGACTGTGTCTCCCGCCACCCGTTTGCATTTTTCATTACCTTCTGGCATTTATACAATCCAGCCATGATTTCTCCCTCACATCCGCACTATTCGCCCCACACATCTCGTTCCTTCCCTTTACTCGACGCTAATGATATTACCGTCCCTCCTGACAGTGAGTCTGTCTCCCAGTCCTGTAATTAGCCCTACATAAACCTGATAAGCTCAGTCGCTTCATGACCTCCTTTGCTGCCATTCAGATGCCTTTGAGATGGCTGTGATAACATTACAGTGAATCCTTGGTACTGCGGCGTCCGGAGGCTTTATGGTCCCCATAAATTTACCCACTTGATGAAATTAACACTTTGCTGAACCCTGTATTATTGGATGTGGTTGTGTATTGTCTGGGGGTCTCAGAGGAGGTGGGAAAAGAGAAATGTGGAGGCATCCAGCAAAAAGAAAACCAAAACAATACACCTGCTAAACTTGATGGGTGACTTTCTTCTAAAGCTTTGATCTTAAAGAAGTGGTATTATGCTTTTTTGCTTTTTCCCTCTCCTTTATTGAGTTATATATCTTTTTTGTGCATGTAAAAAGTCCAAAATCCAGCCCAAAGGGAGTTCCCATCTCCCACAGAAAACACTGCTCTGAACTGCCTGAAAACAGCTCATTTGTAGTCCAGCCTTTTTTTCTGCTTTCTTGTGATGTCACAACAAAATGCACATCATAAGGCTCGCCTATCGACTAGTCATACACGCCCTCAAAAACACAGGTGGAAAAACACTCTGAGCTGCAGCACACAGTGACAAGACGTCACTTGGTGCTTCTCCTCTCCCTTCCAAACACTAGCTATCCTCCAGGCAGTCAATGGACATAAAGTTGTCACTGTGATGTAGACAGAGCTCAGTTAAAACTTTATGGATGAAAGACACATTTGTTACAAATTAATTACTCACCTCTCTGAAACTCTTGCTCCAGTCCATGTTGCTAAGCTGGTAAGGGGAAAATATACAGCTGTGTTTACCAGCTTTTCAGGACCTGCCCTACTCTGCTTCTGATTGGCTAGTCCTTAACTAGGAATTGTGCATGTGCAACTCCCAACAACGATCATGTACAGGCAAGATGTATCACTCCATAGCTAAAATGAAATGTGCAACACACAGGGTGAAAAGAGGAGCTGCAGCAGTTTTTTGGTGTTTTTTGAAAATAAAACCATGTAAACCTGTTCTGGTACAAACCCTATACAAAATTTTGAACCTGAAAATGAGCATGATATGACCTTTTTAAAGGAAAGGTTTGGTATTTGGAGAAATACACTCTTTTTGATGAGAGATGAGAAAATCAATACCACTCTCATATCTGTCCGCTGAATATACAGCTGTCCATATGGAGCCAGCAGCGGCTTAGCTTAGCTTTGCACAAGAACTGGAACAAGCTCACTAATTAACATGTTACATCTCAGCAGTCGATTTCTTGGCTCTGAGCAATAACTTCCTGGAATCTTACCGGTTGCTGGTTGCCAGACAAACTGTTGATTTTACATATCAGTTTTTACTTGGGTTTTTGTACAGATTAAACAAATGAAATACTGTATAACGTGAACCTTAGAGGTGCTGGTAGGTGGATTTTGTTACATTTGGACAGAGCTTGGCTAGACGCCTGTTTACATCTGGTCTTTTTGCTAAGCCAACTGGCTGCTGGCTGTTGCTTGATATTAAATAGGAAATATAGTGGTATCGATCATCCCATCCAACTCTATTCTCTTACTAACAGATCATGTACCTCAGCAGTGTGCTGTAAAGCTTTTCTAAATGATCCAGGAATCTGTTCCTTGTGCTCTGCAAAATCCTTTTCAAACTTCACTTCTTATCTCGTTTAATTTGTGCTACTGAGCAAACAGTGTTATCAAATTCAGCCCAGTCTCATCATCTCTTCTAAATGAACACCAAAGACAGAGAAACAGCCATTACACCAAAATAAAATAAATCTTTTGTCTCAGTTTCCAAACCTGGTAATTGCTGCATTTTGGTCATTCATGAGCACACTTTTACATGGTATAGATGATAAAAGTCTTTAATAGTGTTTCACCAGCCGAGTCAGAGCTGATGATGATGGTGCTGGAAGAGAACGATGAGGAGACAGAGCAGCAGTAGGTGCTTGAGTAAATAAAAAAATGATATAGGCAGAAGGCACGTCTGTGGTGGGGGGACTTGATTAGATTGAGAAAAAGCTGTAAAGGTCTCAAATTCAACAGAGAAGGGAAAAGAGCATCTGGAGTCTAACAACTATTAATAATGTATCAGGGGGGCGTCTGCCACGCACGCCTCTCATTTGGAGACACAAACTACACTTCATCAACCAAAACACCAGGGAGGCACCAACACTTTGAGCAGCTGCAGCACAGCAGCCTGGTTCAGTGAAGTCTACCACCCATCTGTCCCTACGACAGATCACAACACAAACATGGCAGATCATTATTTTTATTATTATTAAAAATGGCAAATGTAAAGGAATGCTAGAAAAAAACAAATAACGTGATTGAGTATAATTGTGCTTGCACCTGAAATGTTAGTGTACATTTAATGTTTTTTCTTATTTATGATCACATACTTAAGTACAAATTTTAAGTAGCCTACGTCCGGTTTACTTGAGTATTTTCATTCATATTGAGATATTGCACTTTTTACTTCACTACACTTCAGAAGAAGGAAGAAGGAAGAACTACTTTTTGCACATTGTTTTACACATATAAAAGCTCCTTCTTCCTTCTTCTGAAGTGTAGTGAAGTAAAAAGTACAATATCTCCCTCTGAAATGTAGTGGAGTAGAAGTTTGTATGAAAATACTTCTACTACACTTCTTTGAAAGCTGTTGTTACTGGTTACTTTGGAGAGTTACAGTAATCCATAAATCATCAACAGTAACTTTTTCTGAATTACTTCTGAAACACTTTAAGTTTTTACAGTTCAGATCTTTTGCATAACGGAGTATTTTTATATTGCAGTACTGCTAATTTTACTTAATTACAGGATGTGAATACTACTACCATTTTCTTATTACCATAATTACCATGAAATGTAGTGAAATAGTAATTATATAATGACAACATACTAGTACTAGAAAGTACTAGTACTAGAAATTGAATATGCTCAAGTGAAGCACAAGTTACCTTATATATATATACCACTATACACTATATATATATACCACTGTATATATTTGAATTGAAATGTTTGTTGCATTTTTTAATCTAAGTTTGAGGTCAAAATTGATATTTTTGCTGTAAGCCTTTGGGCCATTTTACAGTCATCTGAAGTACAAAAAACAAAGTTCTTAAAAGCAACGTTTGCATCTGCAACAATGACTCAATGAATGCTTAATGAGTGCTGACGTTACACAAACATTCAGGGCTTGCCACAAGAGGCTCAGGTTGGCTTACATGGGAGAGAGGGGTAGAGCATTGGCCTGAAGCGAACTTGTTACTGTTTCTCATTAACAGTCCATAAAAGAAACAAGCAGAGCCCCAAGACCTTTCTGTCCCTGCAGTGATGCACTTTATTTTCCATGCGATGTTTCCAAAAAAAATTGCTTTGTAGTCTGAGGTCACTAAGTAATAAATGTATTAATAAGAAATACAAACAAAGGACAATGTTTGAGGACACTGAGAAAACATTTAGTTCAGGCTAAAAATAAACTGCGTGGGCAAACACCTTTCAGTGGTTTTGCTCCTCATACATCTTATTAATCAACCGCAGTACCTGTTCACGCCCAAACTTGTGTAGCTTCTGTTTGGGAGGACTGACACTTTGTGGCGAGATGGGATAGTACAAGTATAAATCAGCAGGTACTGGATCAGAAAAACTGTTGCAGTAATAGATTATATTCACTCATTTTGATATTTAATTTATGCAGATGGGCAGTGTTGGGCAAGTTACTCAGTCTGATCGCTGGGTGCGCTGAGGGGGTGCACAGAGGGGGTGAGAGCCCAAACGCAAGACACTGTGAGCTGAGATTGAGTTCCAGGGTTTATTTATCCCAGGCACGACAAACAGGCATGAATAGAACTCATGGGTACAGGAACTAGTAACATCTAAAAAAGCAGCAACTGGTAGTACATACAACAGCCAACTGAGCATGCATGCAACAATAACCGGACATGGACTAAACAGAAACACCAGGTATATATACACACACAGGGACTATGGAGCAGGACGGGAGCAACACAGATGAGGGACATGAGGCTAACGAGGCAGGCAGAGAGACAGCAGGGAAAATAGAGAGGCAGGCAGGCAGAGTGAAAACTGAGGAAACAGACAGAACACTTGACAGGCAGACATGGGGCAAAATAAATAAACACAGACAGAACACATATTACAAAGTACCAGAACCTAAACTAGAACGCAGAACTAGAACACAGAGTACAGAGCAGACTAAACCAAATTAATGTACACAAGAACTAGGAGCAAATACCAAGACATGAACTAAGGACCAGGACTAAGAACAAAGACATGGACTAAAACCCAGACTCCCCAACAAGACACACAGACAAGACTTAAACCCAGACACAGAGGAACCAAAATCAAAACACAGAGAAGACATGGCCAAAATAATATAATCCAGACAAGCTCAGGACAGGATCGTGACACAAACATTGTAATAAGTTACTAATTACTCCTTAAAAAGTTTTAATATTACTTTACTTATTACTGGTGTATAAAAGTAACTAGTTACATTACTCCTTACATTGCTGTATTACTTTCACTTGAGTAACGCATTACTGCCCATCACTGCAGATGGGTCACAAATTAAAGGAAACTAACTCAAATTCATCCTTGGTACTGCTCCATGGAATATAGTTTACAGTTTGCTCCTGCTTACTACTCTATGATTGTTTTTGTATACTGTATTTTGTCTGTTATGTAGCAGAAGGGAGTTATAAAACACATTTCATTTTATTACTGTGTTGTAATGTGATCATTAAACCTATGTTGTACCTTTTTAGGCTTTTTAAAGTGAAACTTAACATTACCTGGAAATCTTATTTCTGTTGATCTCTAGTGGTTTAACTATGTCAGGATATCACTGTTTCAGGTTTCAGGTGTAAACACTATGGAAGATTTTATTGGACTATTTCTAACCCACAGAAAACAATCCACAAATGTGTACTATGCTGCGCAAATATTTCACTATCTACAAATATGTATTGAAACATTTGTGATGTGTAAAATCATATCCACAAAAAGTGAAACTTCTGAAAAAAGAGTGACTTCTGCACACAAAACAGTTTTTGTGCATTTGCAGATTGCTTTCTGTCAATTTGTGGGTCATGTCATTGTAACTTCCTTTTTACGCATTTGTGGAATTTTGTCCAATGTGATCTGTAAACATCTGATCTGCAAGTGTGAGAGCAGTTTACACACCAGCAGGTGGCGGTAGCGACATTGCCTCCCATGAGTTGTAAGAATATCCACTTCAGAACCCAGGGTCATCAGCAGGAGACAACCAGTCCGATAAAATCTTCCATAGGCAACCTGGATGAACAGAGTGCAGCCCACAGAGCACATTCCTGAACGTCAGTAATGCTGGATGGGTGTGGCTGGGTGTGATCAGAAGCACAACAGTCTTGAAACTTTCAACCAGAGAGGGTAGTGATACACTGTTTTTAGCCTGGTGTCAAGTTACTCATTACAGGAAGTGTGGAGCATAAATGGTACTACCAAAATATTAAAACAGAAAAACAGTCAACTTTAGCATAACTATAAAATTAGGAAGGTGTGCTAATCTGTTCCTCTCCAGAGACAAATTTTTTTTCACCATGTCCCTACAAATATTTTTGTTGTTGTCACTTGACCTTTTTTTCATCATCCAGTTCTCCAGGGGTATAACTCTAGGCACTTGGCTTTGTTTATTCTGTTTCCACTGAAGTCTTAATCACTTACGTATTAACTTACATATTAACTGCGCTCACTGACTCCAAGCCAAACTGAACTGACTTCTAGTCAGACATACATCTCCTGTTTAATTATTTTTGCTCTAAACCTGTGGTGTTGCTGTGGTTGTGACTGCAGCTCAACTCCTCTGAGAGAAAGTGGAATGAAATCCCAAGGTGCTCTGCCACAGTGCATTAGTTTATCACACTGAGCTGCTGGGATTGCAGCAACATGGTGGATTACTAAAAGTGGTTTCAAAGCAAAGGCTGATGGTTTTGGAGATTGCACTTAAATTTAGAGCTGATCCTGATTAAATGTATGTACTTTAAACATACTTGGTCTACAATAATTTGGATAGACTTGTAAACAGAAGCTTGGTACAGAGGATTAGGGATTTAATAGTTCAGGTTTTCCATCAAGCCTGAGATAAAGCATTAACTTCTTTTTTAAACTTAAGCAAGCATGACGGTTTGTTATAGATGACTGAGCTCAAAACAAAAGACAAAAATATGGCACAGCAACAAAATGTAATTGATTTTTCAAGCAAACTGTCAAACAAACCACAAAAAACATTTCCCACTTTCCACTTCCTAATTCTGCAGCGGCGGTGAAACGTGTTTGCTTTCATTGCTTCAGAGTTTAAACAAGATAACAGGCCCGCTCTGACTGGGCTCTGCCATCTCTGCTGGGTGTGACGGCTGTCGTCATTATGAGGGCAGATGGTGACATGTCAGGCATAACCAGGAGATGAGCAAGAAGGTGGCATGAAAGGACCTCTGTTGACTTTTCAGCCAGACCAATTCACATCCTTCATTCATTATGTCAGCCTTATCTGGACCAGCTGAAACTCCAATAGCACTCCTCTTCTGCTGCACTTGCTGAGAGTTGTTTGGCAGGTAAATGGATGAAAATATCAGCTTCAGTTGCAGACCATACATGTCAATCATAGCTGGGCTTGGTGGGGGGGTGTACACTGAAGGGACATTGTTTTTACTGAAACCTGTCTTACTGGCTAGACCGTCATCTCTTTGTGAGAGGATTATGCAATTACAAGAAGAGCAGCTTTGTTTTGCAAACAACAGTCTCTTATGTGAGAAGAGTGGCCATGATTTTGGTCTAATCTTGAAAAATGTTAGACTTCTTGTGGCCAAGCAGCAGTTGTGTTTGTGTGTGTGTACATGCCTTTGTGTGTGTGAGTATACACCTGTGTGCACAAACCCTACTACCACAGAGAGATGGCAGGAGGAGGAGGAGGAGTGGCACAGGTATACTGGATATTCTCACTGGGCGTGAAGAGGGAGGAGATGAGGGAGAGAAGCCTTAAGGACAGCATGGCAACACAACCATATAAAGAGGCACTCCCTGCAACGGCCTCAGTTCAGCTCTCCTCCCGACAGCAGCAGCAGCAGAAGCACCTTGCAGTAGTCATGCTCAGCCTCTTCAAATTACCACGAGTCTTCACTATCAATCAAGTTCCCAAAGTAAGTTCACCTTCACCGTATCTTCACTGGACATTTCAGGTTTCACACAATCAAACTGAGCTGGACTCAAGTAGGAGAATGAGTGTTGAATGTTGAATGTTGAGAAATTTTTAAAAAATGCCCGTTGTTATTTTAAGTGTCATTTTGCTCACACATTCAGACTGATTTACATTTTCAAATTTCACTACATGAAATAAACATTACAGATAACTCTCTTATTATATGTACATATATTATAATAATAATATTTGTTTGTTAGAGATGGATGCACTGGTTATTTTTGATGACATGTAGCTCTTTCTCCTGTTTTAAAGTTTGAGTGTGAAATTGTTTTGGACAAAAACATCGGCCAATGTAATGTAAAGAAGCACTGTTAAATCTGGGGTTCCAAACCTTTTTGGCCTGTGACCCCTAAAAACAAATACTGTTCCGATTTCTCCCACTCACATACTCATTTTTAGAAGTATCTCACAAGTAAAAAAAAAAAAACCTTGATCTGAAGCTGTCCCAGGGTTTAGCCTTTTTTTATTGGAACTACAGTTTAGGAAACACTGTCTTAAAAGACCACTGGGGTATTTGACGTTAAACATGCAGCACTTGGTCGACTTAGAATTTCCTTAGTCTTGTGTATTTTGTTGTTGTTCCATTGTTGGAGAAAAAAAAGTTTCACAAACTTGTCAAACTGACTGAATTGTCAAGACTTACCAAAAGTTTACCAAGAGTTTTCTTTCTCAAGGTTTTCCATGAGGACGGCATCATCTCCGGCTACCGACACCCCCGCAGCTCAGCCACCGACTGCATCCTCAGCCTCTTCCAGCTGACCAATGAGACGCTCAACATCTGGACACACTTTGTTCCTACCTGGTACAGCTGAAAAATGGTTTTTTTCTGCAATACAGACTTACATGTGACAGACTTGAATGCATTTACATACAGTTGTCGTTGTGGCAAGTGGCCTCATTTGTGCAAGAGGTCACAGCTCACCAAACATGTACAGTCTTATTTTACTCAGAGAGGAAAAGGATTATCACCACATATCAAAATGGACTACTCCCTATAGGATAGTTAAGTAACTTAAAGGTCAAGGTCAAATTTATGTTAAAGCATTTTAAAAAAAGAAGAGGGTTGTGCCAGTGTTTTACAGCAAACATTAAGTCAATTCTTACTTCTCCTGCGATTTTGTATTTCTTCATACAAAAAGCAAGATTTTCCGCTGAAGCAAATCAGAGTTCTTCTCTTCTGCTTTCTTAAGAATCAGGAAGCATTCTTTGGCCTGCTTCATGTTAAAGGTAATCTTGCACAGCTTGTTGAACTGAAAGTCGTAGCTGACAGAGGATTTATCAGATCAGTTTTTGCATATTACTGACTAAAGACTACCATTTACAGTATCTGTCCACTTAATATTCCTATTATTGTTCACTGAATGCATATATATTCATTACCATGGATGCACTCTTCAAGAAATTGAACAGATGCCAGGAGAACAGTTTACTTTGTTGTGGATACTGTACACAGTTGTCACAGGATACCTACAGTAAATGCCAAATCACTTACAGGACTTAATGCCATCATTCTGGATTGACTCAAGTAATATGAGAAGGGTTGCACATACAAACGGGTTTGTTTTTAAGACATACATCCCAGCAACCATGTGGGTTCTATAGACCTGCAGTCTCACAGTGCCTCCCTGTCAACAGCCTTTTATGTGCAACAAGCCTAAACTCTCATATTACAGTTGCATTTATGCAGTGTATTTATCCTTTATTCAATTCAAACATTCCCTCAGCTCTGTCCTATACACTGTAAAAATGTCAACATGAATTTTTTGCTATACAATAAATGGATGTCCAGCTGATCGGTTAAGTAATTCCTTAAATCAAGTTGTTAAAAAAAAACATTGTAAGCTTACCAGCACAACTTCTGGCATTTGGTTTAAAAATCCTCAGGCAGCATTGTTTTTACAAGTTTGAGGAAAGTTATGATGGATGTTTGGTATGTTTGTTTATGTGTCTCAGATGGCTCACATGGTCTTCTCTTTGATAAAAAAATATTAAAAACTGGAAAAACAGGATAACAACTTCAACAACAACTATTGACAATAGTAACTAATCACTTATTGGCTCAACTCAGTTTCTTAAGTTTGACTTTCAGTTTATCTAAACAAAAAAGTGAAGAACGTGTGATAAAGTGAATTAACTAGTCGATTGAAGTTCTTAAACAAAAGTTGATTGTTCACGTAAGCACGTCTCACTATTTAAAGATACTACAGAAATCACTGCTCCCACTTGTCATGCTGCACTTCCTCCCTACTGAGATGCCAGTTGCTTTGACTGCATGGTGTGTGTGTGTGTGTGTGTGTGTGTGGATGGGTGTGGATGGGTGTGTGATGAAGATAATGTTCAGGGCACACGGGTGTTTGTGTCATGGGGCTTGGCGTAGACCTGCAGGGCAGCCACTAATGATCAGATCTATGCTTAAGGCTTTCATATGAGTCGCCACAATTAGTTAACTGCTCAGTGACGGGGAAAAGCCCAAATTATGTTGATTCGTTAATGGTGTGCACTGAGACGTGGAAACAGTGGCTGTGAATACACACACAAGCCAAACTACAGCCTCCCTGATAAGACTGCTAGCTGACAATTGCAGACAAAAGCATGATTTAATTGAGCAAAACTTTACATGATACATGATTATGAACATCTGACAGGTACTGACAGATACGCAGATGACAAGCCCAGTGTATGTCTTTTGAATGCCATGAACGCAAGTAATTAAATGTCTGTCTCCGTTGTTATACAGTAGGGCATACACACATACTTTCCATCACATTGTTGGCATTCTGTTTAAGCCTGCTAGAGATGGTAACTGGATTTTATACAGGAGGTTTATACATTTCTGTTATTTTGTGGTTTTGCTCATTAATAAGCCTCTCTCTGACTGGCTTAATGGTTCAGTGTTCATGGTCAGCTCACAGCAAGGAGCTGTTGACATGTTCCAGTTTGTTTTGGTTAGTTAAAAAAAAATAACATTTTGGGAAATATGCTTACCGTATTGGCGTAATTAGATGAAAAGACAACTAGCACTCTCAAGTCTGTGCATGAGCTATGGAGTTCAGCTGGGAGGCTCTTAGCTTAGCTTAGCATAAAGACTGGAAGCAGCAGAAAACTGCTAGCATGGCTCTCTCTACAGGTCAGAGATACAAATACAAACAGCTCTAAATCTTAGTTATTAACATGTTGGTTGATCCATAAACAAACAGAAATACAAAAATGACAAGTTGTGGTTTTACAAGAAGTTACGTGCTGTAACCATTCCTCTGTCAGCATTTGGAATTCTGGAGGGAAAAGGTTAACCTGTACTTACGCCCACATTTTCAGCTACACCTATATTATCTCACTCATGTTCAAATATTCCAGCGATAGGCCTACTATTGTACAACCAGTGTGATCGTATTTCGCAATGAATCAAGCATAATCATTCATGCAGCCTACATTAATGAGAAATGAACTGATCAGTTCAGGCTGTTCAGTTAGGTGCTTGTTTTAGCTTCAGTAACTCAGTACTGAAGCAGTGATTTCACTGACAAGATACCTTCTCATGTTACTTTGACTACTCATACTTCTTAATGAGTTCATGATACTAGACTTATAAAGTAATAATTATCTCGTTGAACAGTGTTTTACTCCTGTATCCACCCCTTGTAAGGATGTTACCATTTTGGGTAGAGTTAACACTTTAACTGTATAAATGTACAGATTGGTGACAAATTATTAGAAAAACTCCCAAAAGTTCCAAAATTTCTCAAAGGTGTTCATTTGGGTTTATATCTGTGTTATACTCCAAAATGTATGCTTGAAACCATTCAGTGGCCCCTCATGACTGGAAGTATCTCCATTTATCAAGTTTCTCCACTCATTTATACAATTTTTCCTTTTAATATGTCAGTCCTCTGTATGTTTATTCACTCATTTGCTGCTCCTGTTTGTATTATGTATGCTGTCAGTTGCTTGACTGTTGATATGATGATCAGATTCCAAAACTAAGTCATTAGGTTTGTGTGGCTAAAGGTACAAGGTACGAGGTAGATTTATATGTCACATTACAACAGGTTGTAAAGTGAAATTGAGTTTGTAACTCCCTTCTGCTACATAGCAGACAATACACAATAATACAAAAGCAATTATAAAAATAGTAAACATTAAAAAACTATTTTCAGTGGAGCAGTGCTGAGGATGAATTTGAGTAGAAAAGTCTGATAGCGGTTGAGCAGTTTTAATCACCTGGCAAAGTCTTCCGGTTCTGGGCCGAGAGAAACTAAAGAAACTCCTAGGAATTCGATCCACTTGTATTACCTGTTTTTATTAGAAGATTCAACTTAATTTTGCTCTTCTTCAGATGAAAATATTATCAAATGATCTGCTGCATCCAACCCAATCTAATTAACTTAATGCAACCTGTTTCTCTTGACAGGTACTTCCTATGGAAACTAGTAACGGTGGTGCTAGTAACGAGAGCATGGCAGGACTCCTACACCTGGCCTCTGGTGATCTTTCTGCTCTCCTGTTGCATTTATCCACTGGCATCGAGTTGTGCTCACACCTTCAGCACCATGTCAGCACGGGCACGCCACATCTGCTTCTTCTTCGACTATGGTGCCCTCAGTTTCTACAGCCTGGGTAAGTGTATGAGGTTCACTGTCACTCGATTCACTGGGACCCAGAGTGAGAAATGGTGTTGAGTGGAGATCTCTAGGTGTGTTCCTTAACTATATTTTTAGCTCAACCAGATATGGCATGTAGATAAGGCAGGAATGTCTTCAAATGTTGTGCTTAGTTATGTGAAACAGTGTACGCCTTGTGGTGCAAGTCAAATTTTAGGGAAACTGACAATAAAAGTGAAAACAAATTAAATCAAAACATTCTGTATTTATGTGTAAAGATTTTAAAGGTAACAAAGTATCTCAAATAATTCAGAAAAACACAGCAGCAGAGGTGGTCTATCATAATACACATCACAACATGAATTAATTAGACATCCTCAATAGTGTCACTTTGGTGTGAATGGTTATAATATTCAACTCAAGTTCAGTGTTAGGTACTGATTAAATCTCTGTTGTAAAGCAGTAGTTAGTGGTGGTGGTGAAGCCAATCCCAACTTTTTAACTGTGCCGTTTTTCTGTACATGCATTTATAAGAGAAATATTGTCCTGTTTGTAATATTCTCTGTAACATCTCTTCTGTACCATCTCTCTGACATCAGTGTAGAGATAATTTTGTCTGATAGAAAACCTACACTGTTAAAATTACAACTTTGTTAATGTGTCCTGCTGCAGGATCAGCAATCATCTATTCAGCTTATGTATTCCCGGACAAGTGGGTGAACAGCTTCTTCCACCAGTGCTACATCCCCATCGCTGTGCTCAACACTGTCTTCTGCACCAGCGTGGCCTGCTACTCCAGGTATGGTGAGAGAATGAATTGTACACAGCTAATGCTAAATCTTAATCAGTGGTGGAAAGTAACTAAGTACATTCAGTACTGTAAATACTGTATGTACAGCCTTGAGGTATTTGTACTTTATTTGAGTATTTCCATTTTCCACAACTTTATACCTTCTTCACTAAGAAGGAATAGGGAACAATAGAAAAATATTATAGTTTTTACTCCACTACATTTATTTCATAACTATAGTTAATACTAGTTACTTTACAGAATCTGATTAATAAAACAAAACATAATCAACAAATAACTGATGATGGTGTATTATTATTGGTTAAAATAGGATAAGACTTTCACAAGCTACCCAGCAGTAGGCTATATAAAGTCAATATTAGCTCCCCCTTTACCAGCTGCCACATTGAAGTGATGTACGCATGACTGCTTCAATAATTATAATCCAGTAATATATATACATTATTCTGGAATAGCCATTTTGCATTAGGAGTCATTTTACTTTTCATACTTATTTTGATGCTAATACGTTGGTACTACAAGCCTACTTTGAATGCCGGACTTTCACTTGTTCTTCACTGTGGTATTACTACGGTACTTTTACTTAAGTTAAAGATCTGAGTACTCTTACACCACTGATCTTAATGATCTCTTTTTTAAAAAGGGTAAAATGTTATTGTGCGAGAATGCATTGCATATCCATAACATGCTAAATTTAGCTAGCCCTGTTTTAAATCCCAAAGCCAAACTATCAGAGGTGTGTATGGTGAGGCAGGTTGGAGGACCTAAATGCAGGACACACAGCTGGCAGGTTCAGTTCAAGAGATTTATTAAACCATCAAACAAAAGGCGAGCACACTTGGCAGAGTGGCTGATTAACAGAGTCCAAAAACAAGGTGATCCAAACAGAAATCCAAGGAAACAGGGTGACAAGTCGAGCAGGGCAGGGCAGGGCAGGCTAAACATGACAACACGAGACAGAGCATATGCATGCGACAATGACCAGACAAAGACTAGACAGAAACACCAGGTATATATACACACACACACACAGGGACTAACGAGCAGGGCGGGAGCAACACAGGTGACAGACATGACTAACGAGACACAGGCAGGCAGGGAGAGAGCAGGGGAGAACAGTGAGACAGCCAGGCAGAGGGATACTGGAGGGAACAGATATGACACAGGTTACTGAACACATAACAGATCAGAGGAATAAAAATAAACTAATAAAGACACAAGCAGACAGATCACCAAGAACTACAACCAACAATGAAAACAGACTGAAGCTGGGATTAAAGAGAACACAGAGCAGACAAGGGCAAAATAACACAGAAGTACACAGACCAAAAGTAAACACAAAGACATGAACACCTTACTGAGAACTAAGACATGGAACCAAAACACAGATACAGAAGGGACTACAAATAACAGGATTGAGAACTAATAATAATAATAATAATCTTTATTTGTAGAGCACTTTTCAAAAACAAGTTACAAAGTGCTTTAACAAGTGTAAAGACAATAATACCCAAGAGACAATAATACAAAAACAATACAAGATAAAAGCATGAAAAACATTGAAAAGACTAAAATACACGTTTAAGATAAATATAAAATTAGTAAAATACAATAAAATAAAAGGGATAAAATAAAGTCAAATAAGATCAGGAAAGGCTCTCCTATAAAAGTATGTTTTAAGAAGGGACTTAAAAGAGTTTACTGACTCAGCCGACCTGATTTCCTTGGGCAGGCTGTTCCAGAGCCTCGGGGCCCTGACAGCAAACGCTCTGTCCCCTTTAGTTTTCAGTCGAGACTCTGGAACAGACAACAGACCTCTGCCCGAGGATTTCAAGGTGCGTGCTGGTGTGTATGGGACTAAAAGGTCAGAAATATAACAAGGCAAGAGGCCATGAAGAGCTTTAAAAGTGATCAATAGAATTTTAAAGTCAATTCTAAAACATACTGGGAGCCAGTGTAATGAAGCTAAAATAGGAGTAATGTGGTCATATTTCTTTGTTCTGGTTAAAAGCCTGGCAGCTGAGTTCTGGACAGTCCTGAGTCGATCAATAGATTTTTGGGTTAAACAGGTGAAAAGGCTGTTGCAATAATCCAGGCGTGATGAGATGAAGGCGTGTAAAATGGTCTCGGTGTCCTTAAAAGTTAACATAGATCGAATTTTTGCTATATTTCTAAGTTGATAAAAACATGATTGAACAAGCATTGTGGTGTGCTGCTCGAAATTTAAATTACTATCAAACCAAACACCAAGGTTCTTTGCCACAGGCTTAATGTGATTTACTAGGGAACCAGCAGATGGCAGTATTTGATTTGCCATCTGCTGGGACCCGATCACCAGGATTTCTGTTTTGTCTGAGTTCAGCTGGAGGAAATTATTTGACATCCATTTTTTAACTTCACAAAAGCAGTTGTTAAGTGAACTCAGCATTCCAGGGTCTGTGGATCTGACGGGCAAGTATATTTGTGTGTCATCAGCATAAATATGAAAAGAAATGCCATGTTTATGGATAATATGTCCAAGGGGAAGCAGATACAAGGAAAACAAAATGGGTCCTAAGACCGACCCCTGAGGCACACCATATTTAACTGGACGGAACGAGGAGACATAGTTGTTTACAGACACGCAAAACTTCCTATTTGACAGGTAGGATGAAAACCATTCTAGGGCAGTACCAGAGATCCCCACCCAGTGTCTCAGTCTGTCTAACATGATGTTGTGATCAGTGGTGTCAAAAGCAGCGCTAAGGTCCAGAAGTACTAGGACTGAGCACATGCCTTCATCAGCAGACATTAAAAGGTCATTGATGACTTTAAGCAGGGCAGTCTCAGTGCTGTGGTACTTCCTGAAACCAGACTGAAACTTTTCACATATTTTGTTATTTTCCAGTACAGTGAGCAGCTGTTTGGACACAATTCTTTCTAGAATCTTTGCAATAGTTTTGAAATTGGTCTAAAATTATGTGGGAGGGAGGGATCTAAACCAGGTTTCTTTAAAAGTGGGTTCACGCAAGCCGTTTTAAAATAATCAGGGACACAACCAGTAGATAGGGAGCTGTTGAAAACAGAGATCAAATGGGGCCCAACAGAATCTATTACTTTCAGTAAAAACTTTGTAGGTATTACATCAAGTGGGCTGGAGGACACTCTCATTTGTGATACTGTTTTTAAAAGCTCAGATAAGTCAATGGGATAAAACTGGTTAAAACTCTCTTGTTGCTGGTGAGGAACCTCTGAGTAAGAGGCTGCGGGGGTAATAGAGGCTCTAACTAAACAAGGCAGGCAGGCACACAGCGTGACGCAAACGTTTGTTCTTCTAAAGGATAAATCCCACAGATCTGTTTACTTATATGGTGTTTACTTACCACAGTTAGGGTATTTCCAACATGATCACCTACTTAAATATACTAATAATACATGAGGCATAAAGTGGACGTTAGCTTGATAGCATAATAACAAATGTTATATGCTAAACTTCAGCACAGTGGGGGCCAAGGTTTTCATAAACATCGCGACTGTTAAATGACCCAGTGAAATAAAATCTATAGACTAATCTATAGAATAAAAGAAATCTCTGGAAAAATCAAGTTTGCAGTACCTTAGTTATTGAGGAGAAAGGGCTTCAGTACTTATTCTGTATCAATAACTTTTCCACCTCTTGCATTGTTATTTCTTCCTGTACCAGATTCATGTTGTCTTGGCAGGCTATAGCTAATTATTGTTCTTTCACTCTCCCAACTCTCTCACTGCTAAGGCTTGGCTTACCATTTCTGCAATATAATCATGACATCATAAAGAGGTAAAGACAATGCACTTGCTAAAACTCTGGTCACTTCTCTTCTCTTTTCAATCTAAAGCTACGTTGATTGTATTATGCTCAAATTATAGTAGCAATAGATATATGCTATTTCATCCTTTCAAAACATGTGATTATTAAGTCTTCAGACAGACTTCATCCCACTGTCATCGTTGAGTCAGATTTTTTATTAAGTAGAATTGAGCAACTCAAGGTTTAATGCAATGGGTGTTACCTAACTGCCACTATAGAGATTAACACCTATTGTAGTTTCAGCTGGGCAGGTTAGGGGAGCTGACAAAAAGAATGGCAAAGTTCTGTGAAGCTTGCCATTTATGTGCTACTACATAAGTCATCACATTGAATAAAACAGTTCATAAATCTATTACAGTCTGTCACAAATGCGTATTTAATGATTTCAAGCTCTGAAATACCAACTTGATAAAATTTTTGATTTTTAATTTTGCATTTTTTAAACAGATTTCTTATCTGGACAATTGTAGCTATTGTACACTAAGTCCTCACCAGGGAAGTATACCATGCTGGTTAATGATGACATGACATTTAAATTATACCCACATGGAGTAATACAAACATATGGCTTTATAATTTCATATTGATTTTCCTCAGTTTTTCAATATTAGGCCTACGGTATTAAATTAATATAAGTATGGCATTACCAGTGGTGATGATGTGTAAAAAGCTGTAACCATGAGGAATATTTGATGAATTGTTTGCTCCTTGATTATTGAAAGTAATAACTTTCTTCTTTTATTTCAGATTCCCTGAGTTCCAGAGTCCAAAGTTCAGCAAATATATCCGTGTTGTTGCCTTTGCCTTCCCCTACCTGTTTGACAACATTCCTCTTTTCTACAGGGTGGGGCTTTGTCTTGGCACACATCTGTCTTCACACCTCTAACAACTTGCATGCGTGCGTGCGTGCGTGCGTGCACCTGTGTTTTGAGCATCCACTAGGCCTACATTATGCACATGTTACATATACTATTCAATATTGGACATCATTTTAAAACTCTTTAACTTCATTGAATTTTCTGCTAAACAGTAAGGAATTAGAAAACAAATCATACATTTCTCCAGGGTAGATCATTGGCTCTGGTGCTCAGTGCTTACACTATACATTACTTTATGTCCATGACAAGGGTAATCTCTGACGTGATATGATTCAAAATAATAATAAATAAAGTAATGAAGTGGGTTTGTTAGATGCACGTTGTAAATGTTACAACGTATTATGTGCTATATTACATTAGTCTGGTCCTGTTACAGTGACAACTTTTACTTGTTTGTTTCCATGTGGTGTGCAGTTGCATACAGACAAGAAGACACTTAACAGTTGATAAAACAGTTGCATAAAGTACTTTTCAACTGAAATAGTTTACAAAAATGGTAGCTACATAATATATTAAGTTACATTTCTAAACGTACGTGGTACATAATAAAAAAAAAAGTTTATTAATCTTCAGGAATGAAACATCTACAGAGGACACATGGTTTTAGCTTTTGGATGACAACAAACCAAACACCCAGTGATTCCTCTTGAAATGTAAAAAACACAGGGTTCGAGTTATGTGGGAGCCAGTGGGAGCTCAGCTCCCATAAGGAGGGTCTGAGCTCCCATGGAAGCAGTAAAATCATGCATCTGTGGGAGTCTCTAATTCATTTATCAACAACCATTATTTTTAATCACAAATAGCCTAATGTATTTTTCATTGTAATTAGTACTATTATTTACATTAAAAAGATAAACAGGCTTAAATTAACAAGTTTTCCTAATGAACTATGCTGCGCACTGCATGACTGACAGGATGGCTGCACTTCTCCACCATCAGCCACTATGGTGCGCTGTACAGTTGTGACCGAACAGGTTGAGTGACCCGCAAACATGAACTCCGTTGTATTGTACTGTATTAGAATCTGTATTGACTGCTGCTTGTTTGTTTAGTATTATTGGCTTTATAATGCATCCTCCAATTAGTACAGCACTACATATGATGATATGCTTAACTGTGTGCCGGCGGCAAGCAGTGTGTAAAATAATAAATATAAATAAATAATAAATAAATAATAATATAAATAAATAATAAATAGAATTGCGGTATCTCCTTGAGCAGTAGTCTTTGATGGCATTTTTCAGGCTATTGAAACTTAAACTTTGTTGCAATATCACAGACATCTGGGGCAAGTAGTGGATTGCTGTGTGTGTGCGACCCGCACAAAGCTCAGATTATAACTCGACGCTGAAAAAAACCTTTGCTAAAGTCACTTAACTGAAAGCATGAAACCACATAGCTAAAATCGCCAACGCCTGAAGAGCAAGAGAGTAGAAGATGAATGGTAAATGGTCTGTACTTGTATAACGCCTTTCTGGTCTTCCAACCACTGTGTTCAAAGTGCGGTTACACTTCGTCACATTCACCCATTCATACACAATCATACAATGAGCTTAACTGCACAGAACAGAAACTAACATTCACACACTGACGGAAAAGTGATCGGGGGCAATTTGGGGTTTAGTATCTTGCCCAAGGACACTCTACCTCCTCAGCCATACCACCCCACCAAAAAATGACAATGACCTTCAAAACATGTTTTTGTATAATGAAAAATTAATAGTTAAATTTTTTTTCTTTTATGATCAAAAATACATTTTTTCATATCACCGCAAAATAGTGCAGAAAAACACATCAGAAAAGACTAAATATTTAGCCAACAAAAATGCCAGATAATAATCACAACTAAACACAATAAGAAAGTCATATTATGAAGTAAAAACCATACTAATCAAAAATCCAAAAGGAGCTGAACTGTTGGTGACAGCACTATATTCTGTTAAATCTGCTGTGTGTGTGTGTGTGTGTGTTGTGTTCACAGGTGTTTCTGTGTGTAGGGGAGGGCTGCACAGACGATGATACTAACATCCTCCATTACAACCACATCGCCTTGGCTTTCCTCACAGGCTTTCTGTTTGCCACACATTTACCTGAGTGCCTGGCACCAGGCAGCTTCGACTACATAGGTAAGTTTAATCTGAGGAGTAGTTAGTTACAATTATTATTATTAGCCCTATTTTTATCATCATTACTATTGCTATCAAGGCAATTGGCCGCCCACCAAGAGTACAATCCAGACCTGCTCTGTATGAAAAATGCAGTGAGATAACATCTGTTGAACTGGCGCTATATAAATAAAAGTGAAATTAAATGAATGTTAAGACCCTACAGAGAATTATCACCCGGCAAAGTTATCAATTATCTGGTCAATACTGTGGAACATTTAGCAGCTAAAGAGACAGATATTTCCCTCAAAAGCTAAAAGGGGAGTGCTATATGGATGCTTGTGTTGCTTCATATCTGCTGGATGTGTAAATTTGCAACACACAATATTCAGAAAGACCATGTTAGAGAGAAAGTAAGATATAACTGGCTACTCAGTACAAACCTTCGACCCTCATTATATGCTAGGAAAAGTTCTCAGACCATTAGAAGAAAATGGGAGAAACCCTGAAAGGTGGCGATATCAATATTCTTACATAAAAAATGTGTGACTTTAACCTGCTTTACAGATATATATTCTTTATTGGTATATATGACACAATAAAGGAAAGGGGAAAAGCCAAAAAGCATAATATTACCTCTTAAAGTGTGAAACTAATTGGATGAAGCGGAAGGAATGAAAGGTTTGCCATAATGATGCATTCATGTGCACTTACATTATTTAAAGAATTATTTTCCAGATCAAAAAGTGAAGTTGTGAGTGCAGTGTTGTTGTTTTGTTTTTTACAGCTTACTGTCAAATAGAATACAATACATTACAACTTCCTATTACATCAATGCCGCACATCTCAATACAACGTACACACAGTGTATGTCACATTTCAGATTTTAGACCACTACAAATAAATTCTCAAACTTTGTGAAACACTGGATTCACATTAACACATAAAATGTATTCTCATTTGTCTTGAACATTGTGAAGTAATGCGAAAGAATAATCACCACCAAATGTTTTTACTTTTTGAAATCATTTGGCAATGCAAATCATTTGCTTGAGGGCTTGAATTTACACCTCCTCTCTCTACTGTGACATGTGCTGTCTGAGCTCAAACACAACTCGACTGCTCCCTCTGCAGGTCACAGCCATCAACTCTTCCATGTGTGCGGCATCCTCGGGACCCACTTCCAGATGAAGGCCATTGAACAGGACATGGTGACACGGCGCCCCTGGCTCCTTGAACACTCCATACCCATCACTTTTGCGAACTCAGTGGGTGCAGGGCTCTTTTGTGTGGTGGTGAATTTGATTATCATCATCCTCTATAGTCTACCTCTTGTTCACGCCCCAGTCTGCAAGGAGAAGGAACATGTTAACAGCCCAAAGAAAGCCTCATCCAAGGTGTGCTCCTGCTTCTAAATCTCTGGCTTCATAAGTCACGGGACATACAGTGCAGACATGGGAAAAGAGTGTATCATGGGGGATTCATAAAGAACACTCCTGAGCTATGAGGTGCTGACATAATAACTTGCAGTTTGCACTAAACTCATGGTAGTATTTCATTTTCAGACATCACTGTGATGACTGATGTTATTTGCGTGGGTAAACTGAAAATGAGGGCATAAGTTGCACAAACAGACAATGCAAATTTAACAAAATGTTTCTTACCATAAAATGTGTTTTTGAGAAAAGCAACAAATGTAGCTGCTGAGCTACATTATGAGACAGTGATTTATATGATTAGAAAACTATATTTGCTCAATTCTCTGATTTAAACACAGGTAGTTTGTGACAAGACTGTTAGCTTCAGGGAATTGAATGTAAAATTCAAAGTGCTAATTTAATTTTCTGCAGTGCTGCATTTAGACACTGGTACCTCCTTCATTTGTACATATTTATGGTGCTTGGGCTTGAACACAACCTTTTGGATTGCACTGGTCAGTAAGAGCAATGTGACACATCATTAACATAAACAGAACGAAAGAGACAGTTATGACAAGGGAAGGATGTTTGCTCTTTGAGCTGCCTGCAAAGTAGCAACCTGATAAACTAAAAGTTTTGTTACCGTTAATGTGAGATATGTAATACAGAGTAAATGAGTTGTTTATTTCCCTCAAATGCTGTTTCTGTCACTGTAAACTTCTATGACATGTCACATTGTTTCTTTGTCACAAAAAGTATTTTTGTACAATGTTATTTATTATGATTTTTCAAATAAACTATTAACCAAACCTGCATGTGTGTCTTTCTAATTCTAAATAACAGTGAATTGTGTATCACTTTATTAAAACAGTCAAGCAAAGGAATTTCAGTTTTGTTTTGTCAGAGCTAGTATCAAATAATTTTTTTGTCAATTAAACAATCATGAACACAAATACAGTGACATGTACATGTATAAGAACAAGAAAAAGAACATACTGTCATGAAATTATATTAGAATTGAAATTGATACAGGATAATATACTGTATATGGGACATATGGGACATGAGAAAAACAAACATTTTCATTCAAGTATAAGATTTGTTTCTGATACTGTCATTTTTATTTAGAAATAATAAACAGTTGAATTGATAAGCTAACACTTCTGCCCATTATAATGTTTTCAAAATCAGCATAACCACTTGACCAATTTTCCCAAACAATATTTTTGTATAGATAAAATTAAATAATAGTTAAAATATGTGAGTAGTGGTGGATACTAGTAAGACATTGTCAGTGGTCCATGTGATATTTTGTCATTATCATTTTTATCATAGGTCAGGAATTAACTTTTACGCTCAAATTAAATATATGGTCTTTGTTTAGAACACATCACGAGGACTGCTTCTCAGCCTGTGAATCACAGAAATAGTTTTTGTTTAGTTCAAACATTTCCAAGTGGTCCAAGGTAAACTTTTTTCCTCTTCTTTTTTAAATCTTGAATTCATCTCTTACAAAGATCCAAACAAAAATACGTTAAAATGACAGAATAATAGAACAGGACACAACTATAAACAAAGGGGTATCATGTAACAAACAACAAAAGTATTACATTTTTTTAAAATCTTTACATTTTAACTGTTTTGATTGATTTACAATTCTTCAAACCAAATAAAGTTTCAACATAATGTTTGATTTCCATCTTAAAATGTAGTAATGTAGTAATTGTGGTTTCTTCTAAGACTATTTGCACCATTTGTGAATATAATATTTTCCATATAAAATAAAGAGGTTCAAAAGATATATTCATTTACAATCAATATCAATATTGTCATCATAAAATTATGACTCTTTTCCGCAAATTAATAGATGAACCAGTCAGTAGGTAATATTCTAGTAATATTCTAAATCCAACCAAAATCATTTTGTACAAATACAATCATAAAATAAATGACAAATGGTTTCAGCCTTATGGTTGCAAAACGTACATTTTTCCACAATATCATTCTGAACCTTGAAATAACCTGGTTCACAGGATAAATCAAAATGTATAATTTAAAAAACTTGTCTAGTGTTGTTGGTTAGACAATATTGCTTTTTGACCAAATGTAATATTTTCAAATCTAGAGAGACATCCCAGGTAAAATGTGCAGTTTCTGAGATGACACGGGTTACGTGCTGGAGGCGGGACTTCCGCTGCTGAACGCCGTGTCTGTCCTGTGATTGGTTGAAATTTCAGACACCCGGAAAAACGTTTCACAAGAGCGAATTTTTCAAATCGAGAAGAGGCGCTCTTGTGAGCAACGGAGAAGTTTACCAACACAAACAATGCGGCAAACAGGGTGAGCATTACCATCTTCCACATTTAGCTTTAACAGATTAAAACCTACGCAGTGTGTGAAAACGTTGCAAAACTTTTCAGGTATCTAACGGAACCTGCTAGCCGTTGTTCTTTAGAAAAAGAGTAACGTTAAATCAGGGTAACGACAAGGATTAGCCTCCTAATGTTAGCACAGATAGCTGTCCAGCCAGCTAACGTTAGCTGACTCTTAATATTGGTGTTTAAGCTCAGCATTCAGTTTTCAACTAACGCTGTTATTCATATCATATTTCTGTGAAATGGCAAACATGTTTTGGTTATCTTAACGTTAACGTGGCAAATGTAATGTTCATGTTATCATACCAACACCTGTGAATTGCCGTTAGAAAGTAACACCTGAGCTCGCTTAACTTACCTGGTTATCGTAGCAGGGTTTTTTTATTATTTATTTTACTAGGAAGTCCCATTTAGATCAGAAAATATATTTTACAAGCAACATAAACATGTAATAACAGTTAACTGAAAAGAAGTTAAGGTTAAGCGACAGAGTAAAGTAGGCACGCTTCACACTAAGATATATGGCTAAAAGTATGGGGACACATGTGCACAGATGTACTGTTGGTCTGGTTTGGCCTCTTATATGATTTGGCTTTGGCCGTCCTGTCTTTACATGACAATCCACAGAACTATAAAGAAATATTTTTCTGACTTTGGTGTGAAAGAGCTTGCACAGAGCCCTGACGTCCACCCCATCCGGTAGAGCTCCTGCATGAATAGGGCCCTAGTGTGAGAGACAGTAAGGTTCAGGTGTTTTTTGGCCATGGTAAGGTAACATACTTGGTGAATTATCTGTACAGACATGTATCTAACAATACATTTAATGTAGGATACGTTTTTTTGTTTGTTTGTTTGTTATATTGACTGTATCATCACTTACAGCAAAGGGAAGACTCCACGGAGGCCTGGCCAAAAAAAGGCAACCAACATAGAGAAAGATCCTGTTGGGGTAAGTTAACACAGATTACTTTGTTATTTCTCAAAGTGAAGCAATATCACAAAACGGTCGCAGTAAAAGGGCATCATGTTTGCCTATTTAAGCCCTCAGTAGAAATTAAAGGAAAATTTACCCTAAAACAAAAACTTACATTGTGCTAATCTAGTGATTCTTACAAACGCAACATATCAAGACACGTCAGAAGGTGATGCTTTTTGAAGACATTGTAGGCTCATAGAGTCTTTGAGGTATCAAATGAGGTTGATTTTAATGTGCTTCTACCAGCTCTTTTGTGCTGTTCAACTTATGGACAGACTTCAAATCCATATATACATATGTCAAAAGTGAGCTGTACAGATTTGGCCTAGAATTGTTTCAAGAATGTATTTAATGTTGTGTGTATAGGTATATTGCCGTATACGTCCACTTGGAGCAGAAGATGAGGAATGTTGTGTTGAGATGATCAGTAGCTCCACAATTCAGCTACATGCTCCTGATGGCCTTAAAGCCAACCGTAATGGGGAATACAAAGAGGTAAGTGTGTTGTAGTGGTATTCAGCAGAGGCCGGACACTTTTTAAGACACAAATTAATACATGATAATAATTATGGCTCTCACTGTATATTTTCTATTGAATGGCATTTACATGTACCGTATATTCTGTCTTTGTTTATTGTTTAGACACAGTACTCCTTTAAAAAAGTATTTGGTATTAATACCACGCAAATGGAGCTGTTTGAGGATGTTGCCAAGCCACTGGTAGATGATCTTATTCGTTGTAAGAATGGTAAGTGAGTTTCGAGTTTTTGAAGCATAAAATGTTTGATGTTTATTGTATAGAATCCCATAAATGTACTTTTTATTCTCTCTATTGCTGAAAGGATTAGTTGGTCAACAGAAAATTGAAAACAAATTTTGAAAATTGATTATGTTTATCAAGCAAAATGTCTAAACATTTGCAAATTTCACCTTCACAGATGTGACATGGCTACTTTTTTTTATATAATTTTAAATTAAAAAACCTTGGGGTTTTGACTGTTACACATGTTGTAAAACATCAATTAAAAGCCTAAGCCTCCAATTAGACACCTATCCCTTTTACTGGCCTGGGGTGGCTATGTGTTTTGACAAAAACCGTAAGAAGCCTGGTCTGGTTTTCAAAGAAGTTCTCTAAATGTATTAAACCTCTTAAAGCTCACTGGGTTGCCTGCTTGAGCTAGCTAAGGTGCTTAGATCACTCGTACAAATATAAGTGTTTACTTTTGTCAGTAGGGACATGCTGCACGTTAGTTTGGTTGGATTCTCCACAGTTCAGTGGTTAGTTCATTTTACAGAAATAATGAGCACCAAAGTATAATTCATAAACAAGAGAGACAAAAAAAAGTTGACTCCCTACCTTTGAAGTGGTCAAAGTCCAAATATGTGTCCATTCCTCAATTATTTATATTCATTTAGTCCATAAGGGTCCACATATCAAAAGTATCAAAGCGTTTTTTGAAGTTAAAATAACCTTTGGATTTCATCATTTCTAAGGTAGTCTCTGTCTCTCGGTCTCTCTTGCTAAGTTCCCACATCATGCACTGAGGTAAATATTTAGCTTACCTAGCATTCGCCATAAAGTATTGGGTGTTGCCCCCTTTTTGCAACGATTCATGGCTCTCTCAGCTCTTCTATAAAACCAAACAAACGACCACACTTCAGATTTAGTCCTCTGAGGACTAGGCTGAAAAATCTCCGGAGAATTGTCACTTTCTTCTGTCATGTTGTCATTGACCTAAAACAAACCCATCTTAGGCGCCCATATCTGGGAGATTGTTGCTAGCTTCAGTTAATGCTGGACAGTATTACTGTAAGTAAGCGAGTAATTGAATATGGTTTCAATGATAATAAAATTTGTAACCGTATCACTGGTAACTGTTTCATCCCTGTTTTACAATGTATATCATATATCACTGACATCAGCTCTAATCCTCTCTGAAAAGTGGTTATGTATTTGTTATATTCTATGTTCATAGGTCTGCTATTTACATATGGTGTTACTGGAAGTGGTAAGACCTTCACCATGACCGGCTCACCTGGGGAAGGTGGACTCCTCCCCCGTTCTCTAGACATGCTCTTCAACAGCATCAGCCCCTTTCAGGCAAAAAGATTGTAAGACTTTCATTTGTTGGTGTTTTGCGTACTTGGTTTCTAAAATAAAAGATTTCATTTTTGGAAATGTTTTTACTTGAACCTTAACTTTAACCTTCATCAGGTGTTTAAACCAGATGACAAAAATGGCATGGAGATCCAGGGTCAAGTTGACGCTCTCCTGGAGAGACAGAAGCGAGACAGTCAGCAGTCAGTGCCTAAAACACCATCCTCCAGGTAGCTTCAAGTCATTTTATTTACTTTTTACTTTTCTAGTCTGTGGTGTTCACTCAAGTACTGATAAAATTGAAAGAAACAGACTTTTTAAAGTACATTTTGACTGATGCTAATCTTATTGCTTTTCTTT